GAAAATATTTTCCAAGTTAGTTTAATAGGGTTTATCGATTTAATTTTATGTCATAACTTCTGTTTGAATTCAAGGTCACAGTGGTCATTTTAAAATCATTCTCAAGATATTTCATTAAAAAATTATAGATTCACAAATGAAGGGTGGTATTGGCTGTTGATTTTTTAAGGGATATATTATTTGTAATTATAATAATCAAACTTGAAAAATTCCAATAAAGTTGGAAAAGGAAATCCCGAATCTCGTGAAACTTATCACGTGTTTATCAATTTGAGTGGTGGGCTTACACGAGATCAGAAAACCGATTATTTTGATTTGCTGGGATCATAAAAGTAAATCTCTCTTCCGGTGCATAACTGAACTATTGCTGAAGTTATTTGAAAATCTCGGTCCAAACATTGAGCATTGAAACTAATAGACTCATCACTATTCTATCGGAATGATCTTATTACTTGAGGTGACGACAATGTAAATTCCTTTCTCTTTCAAATTATTTTACCTTAAACATTTCAGATTTATTCAGCGGTGAAATGTTTGGTCATCTGAGTTATTCTCGACAAAGTTTCAGTTAATAAACAATTTTCAAAAAAGTAGACATCTGAAAAATTTCTGTTCATGAACTTCATCTGGATTGAAATGATCAGTTATAATCCCGTGACCATAGTATATGAATACACATAAGTTCGCTGGTTTGTCATTTGTATTGTAGCTCTAAATGACAGAGAGTTCCGAGATCTCTACTTCTGGATATAGTTTGTTTCCGCCGACTTTATCAGAAAAACAGCTAACATGTGCTACAAATTCCCTTTTAAGATATTCCAAGAAATTTGTTCTGTTCATAAGTGAAAATCTTCTAGTGATCATTCAAAATGGTACTGATGGTGAGTTGTGCTATGCTATTTACTGAATCGATTTTGTCGAAACTGACCTTACTAAATTTTCTAGGTTGCACTGAAGTACATAAATTATTGTTACCGTTTAAACTAGTACTTATTTCCAGAAATCTGGAAGGAAATATGAAAATAATTTGAAATATAAAGATTTGCTCATCCATAATACAGGATACTGAGTGCTGCAATAGGAACACAATTTGTATAACTTGACGCACTCATTTTTTAAACAGTTAAAATCTTTTGGATTCAAAAGAAAATATGAACAACAAGTATTATAAAAAGACTTTACTGAAGCCTTGGATAGTGTAATATTATGTTGTAATTAATTTCATTCTTACAACTCGATAACTGATTTATGAACTCTTTTTGGGTTTACTCATGCATCTCATTGTAGCGATGAAAAACATTGTTCTTCAGATTAGGTTAAAATCTAAAAATTAAAAACAAATGAGGGTTTTGAGTGTACAAATTCTGGTTTTGTTGTCTGATCATATCTACAAACCACTAACCTACTCACAAAAGTAATATTTTTAAGGTGTCACATTTATAACACTCCATTACATCTGATTTCCTCATTAACTCCTATTTTAATTTAGATGAATTTTCCTCATCATGCTTTTCGGTATACTATGCATTTGATTCGGATAGGAATTTTCCTATTTTTTGTTGTAACTTGTTGCCTGTGTGCCATGTTAATGTATAACGTGATGATACCGCCAATTAGAGAACAGTGAATTGTCGATCGGACCAATGACGCATAAAACCCGTGCGAACAGTCTACAGTACTTATCGGTCCCGCTTCCTGTCCAGCCCAGCCTGTTAAGTCCAGAACACCAATCTCAGCATCTGCAATATGAATCATTTATTTCAAGCATACTGGGTTTATATACCAACCAGACAGACGACATCGTACCATAAAATGGAAAATAACATTTGTACAGGTTTGGCTGTGAGTGTGGGAGGTAGTATTGATAGACACGGCATAATTCAAGAATGGTTAATCGTATACTAATAGCTCATAGGTCAAAATAAATCTCATAATAAGAGGGACATGAATATGTATAGTTTAGTTATTTGTCAATTATACGATTAAAATATACGCATAGTATTGGTCCATAAATCTATCCAAAAAGTTACCATTCATTATGCTTGTCGAGACATAACAATTTTATAGCATCTTTAGTGTATGAACTTTACTAATAGGAGATCTCACTTGGCTCTATTAACTAGATAACAAATAATGAAGATGGATAATCTCTACACTCTCGATAGTTAAATGCTTATTTGAAAAATCATCCGTTCAGTATGAATTCAGTCATACTGAAAGTGTTTTCTACACTGAAAAATCGTTTCTATCTGTGATCTTATGTCAATCGCTTTATCCGTTTATTCATCAATGTATAAATATAAATGCGTTAATAATCTGTCTTCAATGGGTACTTGAAAAGTGGAAGTTAGTCGAAGCACTCAACTCGTTAAACAAATACCATATTCAGACTTTCACCGTACTATTAACCATCTGTGATACTATGAAAGACCTTCCTTTAATCAAAACATTAAAAAAATTCTAAACACTAAAATGCCAAAATAATATACCTGTTACTTTAATCACCATGACAACAGGTCGAGAAAATGTTTTATTTTATCCAGTTATCTCAAAACATCCATATATACCCATATAAGTTAAGCTGAAAAATGATCACAAACTAGCGTAATTTTTCGCGTGTGTGTGTGCAACTATGCAAGTAGCCATATCTGATAATTTATGTTCAATAATATAGCATTTTTGAATAGTTTCTAAACAAAAGAATAAGCAGACCAAATGATGGACGTATGCAATCCATTATTTCAGGAAGACCAGTTGTGAAAAGTCTTTCCGCTAACTTGAACAGTTTTAGTGAAATTAAAAGCTAGTCTTTTTCATTTCAAGTTTGAATCTCTGTGCAATATACAATTGTCTTTGAGAATTTTTTGATAGATCAATATTTTATCGCTTAACGTTGTACTTGGAACACTGTTTTACCGCTTTCATGCTCTTTCATATCATATGGCTAATTATCATCTACCTGTATATTAGAGGTTCTCAGAGGAACGATTCGTTTCCACACAGACTTTTATAAATACGTCGTGATATTTGTCATGATCGTTGATTGAAAACATCTTCAAGAGCTGTCAATTTGTCTGTTGTACACTTTAGTGAACAGATTACGAAATCAGACTGATTTACCTCAGAGCAAATATACTAATTAGATTAGTGAGCTAGTAGTCAACAAGAACTGCTGTTGAAAATCAGATTTCTATTTAAATATTTTAAACAGTTGTTTCTAAAGAAACCAAGTTTATAATACGCTATTCATTAAATTTAAAGAAGCGATTTTGTTGATGAGTCCCATCAGTGTATTTATTCATTTAAGTAAAGAAACATGAATGTAAAATAAAATTCAATCTTATTTCCGAATTCAGATAAATCCTTCAGTTTGTCTTTAATTAAAAATAATGAAGAATAAAATATTTTTACTATGTATCATTAAATCAATAAATTGGAGTTATCCATGGTAGATCATATCCCTTAGTATTCCAACCTAAAACTACTTACAAGTGGGCTGGTCGAAGCGAGAAATAAAAGGGAAGAATAGAAATGAATTTATATTAAATTCATTAGTTAGAATATTGTGGTATCATTAACTAGTAAAACTGGACAATGTAACGTGTTTTATTCGCAAATACAATAGTACCTTAGATATACAATTGATAGCTAATGACATACAAGAATCATCATCCCAAAAAATCCATAAACATTATTATTCAAACTACATCAACTGATTGAATAGTTAACTTTTATGTATTTTATTTAAAATTTTTTTAATATTTAGTCATCAGGTGAAGTTGTTTTGTTTACGGAAGCTTTTAGATTAGTTTAAAATGCAAGTTTTGTTTAATTATCGATGCATAGTTGCGTTTGGTTGGTAATTCAAATAAAATTGGTGTCAGATTACATTCAACATTGTATTTCAAAACGTTTTAGAACTTATAAGCTTATGCATGATTTCTAATAAAGGGATTAATTTCATATTTTCAGTATCTAAAACTAAATTTTGAGCATATAATGTTGGCTGTATTATACTTCATACTAGCCGGAAGTTAACACACGTAAATTTTTTTGTCAACGTGATGAAGATTATTTGGTTCATTTTAGAGAAAAAAATATATTGGCATTAGCAAATATATTCCTCTTGCGTTGAAGAGATGCAACAGAAATGGATAAATCGGCAGAATAATAATATCTTTTTGTTTGCCACGTTATACTGTTATTAAACAATAATATGACCGGTGACCGAGATTATATTACTGCAAGTCTGGATACTTTAGGTGGAACTTTGATCTCTGAGTTGCATGGTTTGGTCGTGGAGCTTTCATTGTTCTTCTGAACGACGTCATTAGCACAAACTTAAGGTAGAAGCAAAGTATTTGAATTTCTCCACATATGACTCACAGCTTGTCCTGTAGACCTCGATCTTGATTGGTTACAGGTCAACAACTTTTGACATTTTGAGTTTTGAGCATAGCATAAATTACATAACGACTAAGCAACAATCTGTGTCTTGCCCTATCACATGGAATTATGGGGAAAGCCCCGCTGATTTTCTGGCACTAAGTAATGTATTTATTTAATAGACATAGTACTTACTCATATCCCAAGCTCATTCAGCGGGTAAATTAAAATAATAGATAAGATGTGAAAAACAGAATAATCAAATTATGTTAACTACGTAGTTACAACTAAACAGAAACTGACATTATTAAGTTGAATAAGTTGAAACCAAAACACTTTTGAATTTCATTAACTGCCATGTTATAGTTCTCCGTATTGTTTAATTATTATTTAAGCATCGGTGAAGCTTGTAAGAATTGTAACTCAAAGAATTCTTTGATCGTTTATAGATTGCTTATTTTGCCTTTGGGGCATTTTTAAAAAATGTACTATATTTTCACCAGGACTGCATGAAGTTAGTTTCATTTTCAGCTTACGCTTTTATACACTGCATAAGCGTTGCCTAATTCAGGCGTTTATTATGCGTTTGTGTTGGAGTTCAAAAATATGGTCTTGAGCACTTTTGTGTCTATATTTCTGTTTATTTTAATCAGCTTCAATACATGAAAGACATTAGCAACTTTTAAATTAAATTATTTCTATTAAGTGGATTGCAAGGAACAAGTAGAAAAATATTAAAAGCAGATAATCGAAGTTAAAAGAGTCTCATGTGAAATAACCAATTATAATAGTACGTTTTGTTAAATAAAAATAGGAAAATTGGTGTGTTTTTTTTATATCACAGGCAGTTAAATTGTAAGCCATGTATCATATAAATTATAGATTATTACGTATATCATTATTAAGTTTCAGTTCTTTTTTTCACGAAGTAATATAATCTAATACTTTCTCTTCATTTCCAGGTCTTTGATACATAATTATTGATCCAGATCAGCGTCCGTTATGAATTCACCCTTATATTGAGAATGACGAATTCCAAATGAATACTGTGGAGCAGATTGTGAATTCATGTGAACCTAAATAGAAGAAGAAATGACTATGAAGTTTTAAAAGTGAATAAATTCTAAAGTAAAAGTTTAAGAAAGTATATTATCAAACTTGAAAAAAATATAAAAAGCTCCACATTCTAAGAGACAAAACAATCTTCGTGAGATGCATAACTGGATATGCTAAGTAAAGAATGAATATAGTGTAATATCTTCTATATTCAACAGGATCAGGTTGTAAGACGAGAAATTTATTTCAGTAAGTTCAGCAGACTTCACACTGAAAAATACCGAAATATTCTCACTAACTAAAATCTTAAAATGAGGTAACATTTGGTAAATATTTTACACTAAAGTCATCGTTTTCAAAAAGTAAGATATATAAACCTTAAAAACACCTCAATATTAAAAAGTTTAAAATCCAGATGTGATATATGTGGAAGTAAAAACCTCTGTTTTCGTATTTTTAATCAGTTTCAAACTACATACGGACTAAACAATGTTTCAGTGCTTTACAAACAAGCTTTGTTGAACACATATTGATGACAGCTGTAATATTACTACACTTTTGTGAGTTTTGTCGAGTTCACTTAGACAGTGCAGAATGTTAAGAAATGTTAAATACACAGAAATATAAATTAATAAGTAAACTTTAATATACTTCTAGACATCATAGCCAAAAAATAACTTTATTTAGTCAAACTACCGCTGACAAGTGTGTACCATTTAAGATAAAAATAGGCACGTTAAATTATGTGCAACGTATGTAACTGCCAGAATTTTGTCAAATGGTGTGAAAGCCCACAGAACATACCCAACAGCTTCACTTTTATTATGATAAATAGTGTTGTGTGGTTACCGCAACTGAGATTTGGATGTAAAAAAGTGTCGTTATTAGAAAGATTTGATTTCAAGCCGTTGATACTTACTTTGACATAGCATGTAAATTTAATTAAATGTTCCAGCATTCAACAATGGCCATGTAACTTCAGTAGGCTAATCTAGTAGTAAATGTAGTTATCAGTTACTTTGTGCTATGACGGTCTAGAGAACCAAATCTAGATCAACTTGATAGGCACAACATTTATTTATGGTGTAGAACTGGTTAGTTTTTTCTAAAACTGTTGTTGTATAAATTTGTCTGAGCATCAAGTTCTAAAGAAATAATCATCGAAATTGCTTGAATCATTTTTAAGAAGAGTTATTGCAAGGGTTTTGTATGACCAAATAAAGCGATTAATTAACCCAAAGATCTATTACCTAAGTGTTTAGAAAATGATTTTTCAGTCAAAAATAAGTTATGTCAGGCCAAAGATGCTTCCAGAAAATTTTAGCTTAACGGCAACTTTTACTGTAGAAGATTGTATAACTACTTTGAGGTCATGTTTATAATGTCAGTCATATAAGGCTCAGATTTATATTCCATACCAATTACTGAACAAACCTTCGTTCACCAGCATTATGACCCTTGCAGAAAACGTTTTGAACATTGGTTAGCTTATCAAAAGATATTTTGACTCATTGAAAAAATTATGGGCTATATTTGCCGGAATTTTCTCCAGTAACACGTGAGTAGATATGACGTTTTACTTACCCCAATTTAAATGGGACGATGCTGTGCTTTTCTACTAGCCGCTGTCAACATTGAAGTATAGTATTGAAGCAGAAACTCTCACAACTGTTTGGAAATAATGCGCTTTGGTAGTAAAACGTAACATTATGGGAGTCTAATATACCAAGCGTCAACTAACAGAATGAACAGGTATTGAGACTTTGAGGAAATGGTATTGCTTGATTACACTAAAGTGTATTGTAAACATTGGAGTAAATTCTGGTTTACTATCACAATAAAGTAAGTATGCAACAGCGCTGTAGAAGTACACAAATAACAATCACAAACATTTCTGTGAAAAACATTGTACAAATGGAATAAAATACTCAGTCCACTGAAAACACGAAAAAGTAAACCACGTTATCCTAACTAAATAAAAACGACAATCGTTTTAATGACCCAAGCAAGATACTGATCCGTTATATGTCTACCAATCGCATTAAGTTTGAATGTGCAAAACAACCAAATGGGATCTATAACAGTTATCGATAGTAATCAAATATATTGGAGGGATACATTATTGTCCTTCTCTATTTTTGTATACGGTACTTCAAGCGTCACGTTTCTGAATCCACATTTAATCAGATTTACTGTTGTACACAAACTCATATTGCATGTTGCAAATAATCTTCTAATCCAGCCCATCCTGGGAGCGTAAATCCTACCAAAACATATACTAATCGTCCGGTTTGGTCATGGCAAACGAGTATTAGGCCGTGTACCAGTCAAACTAGATGGCTGTAAGTACCCGTGTTTTATTTGGTTTTAAACAGAAGGCCAATCATTGCCATATCCTTAAACCATTAAAAAAAAAACAAAATTTCAATTATAAATAAAATAAAACACAAATTTATTATCAAGTCGGAGAAAATATTCTTGGAAATACGGATGAATAAAAATCACGTGTATATATTTCAGAAGAATTGTTGAATTTAAGTACTTTTATCTCCGTAACTAACAGGTCCAGTATAAAATGCTGCCAACTCTGATGATAGTACGTCCTGTGGTTACGTTATGTATCAAAAAATGTGAGCTCATGTTGGAACTAATACTTTGAATTAGATGAAATACATCAGTGGATTGGACAAAATTATTGACATGGTACGATGAAGAAAATATTTGAGGTAAACGTTCGCCAAGCTATCTTTTTAAGAACGAAATTGGTAACACTAAAATATTTTGCTGAACACTAAATTTTCACAAGTTTTATTCGGGAACACAAAAGTTTCTATAATAGAGAAATTAACACGGATATGTTGACAAAAATTTGATATCAGATAAACTACTTATCCATCGGCCATTAAGAAGCCTTGAAAACCTAAGTGGAGACGAAAACATATGTCAAAAAATCACAATCCATTACACAAACACAAGTTTATTTTCTTTTTTCCCTTATCTTTAATTTTAAAACTCGACTTTAATGTTTTTAAAGGTTATACGAAAAATACTCACTCTTTCGGGATAGTAAGCGCCCGGACCTGGCTTTCTCGTAGTGTCGGTTGGCAGCTGATTTCTTCCCGTCACAGAATATTTGGGAGCAGCATCGCGGTACAAATTAAGATCAGTGATATTATATGCTCCAGCTCCAGGTGTCTACAGAAGTGATTTCCGTTAGGATAAACCTACCTCAGCAGCACCAAAAAGCTTTGTTCTGCTGGACAAAGAATATGCTGGGGCTGATTGTTTTTGACTTCTTACTGTTTTTCCGAGCATAGGGTCTATATTGTATCTATTTGGACCTATAATATCGATTAAGATTTATGAGAATGATAAAAAAACCTGGAACATCGTCCACCCTGAACTCTTTGTTTCTAGAGCTTAATGAGTACGCCGGTGCTTTATTAAAAACAAAGTGATCACTATTTTCAGGAGTGTAGGCTCCTGGACCAGGATTTGAAAATATCATTGCTTCTTTCTGTCGACTATACAGTGAGTAGTGTGGTGTTCCATCTTTGCCATCACGTAGTATTTTTGAGTCAGGATAATAACAAGGTCCTGGGCTACATTCGCTGTTGAACTTTTCGTGTCGAATTCCGAAAGACCACTGAGCTCCACGGAGATGATTTGAACGAGGGTCGTGATTTGGAAAGCCAACTAAACTAGGAAGCGCATAACATGGTCCTGGGCTGCTATACATTGCGGCGATCGGACCACGAGGTTTAGTGTAGTTGTAAACCATCTTCAAAATACAAACGGTAATAAGTTCTTGTTACGAACGTGAATGCTTTATAACTTGAAAAAAATTCGAAAGGCCACACGCTGTTATGGTTTCAGTCGGTCACCTTAAAAATTAGTGTATTTAAACGCTGAATGTCAAAAGCAACGAACATTTTGTCTTGTGAATCAGGCTGATGCAAATTACCGAATTACGTTTGAACATGAGATAATAAGCACAAAAATGAACAATTTCGAGGATAAACAAATGTTTTTGATACCGTATTGTTAGTGAAATCTATTAGCTTTCATCAGACCGCTCTAGGTGATTAGACTGTGGTAAGATCCCAATAGGATTGATGTGTAAGTTACCGGATAATTGTTTTGATGTCAGAATTCGGTCGGAAAGTTGTATAATGCGACGAAAACATTGACGACCCCAGAATTTTGAAGTAATGGCCTAAGTGGGTTAACAGCAAGTACGTAATATTTAGAGTTTGACACGCTTGCGATAGTCTAGGGGTGTTTTCATCACTCGGCCAGTGTAATCGTAGATGCATGTTAAATAATTCAAAAGAGATAAGAATAAGAGTGAAAATGGTAGATGAAGAAGCACTGACTTACTTCTTGTGTTTCTTGTTTTCTTCAAGGTTATGTATGTCTGCTGCCGTGAGGACTGTAGTATATGTTTCTAACCTACATTATTTGAACTAGCTTGCTGGAAAACGCCTATGACCCGGAAATTATGTGGCGGCTGAGTCATATTTAGTCTTCTAATAACTATTCTTCCCACAGGAACTTTAAAACCTCAGCACATATAACTCTCAAATTCATTTTCTTGCGATCCTGCGTTTAACGGTATTTATCAGTATTAAGGCCCCATATATGTGTGAGGGGTTCTAATTGGTTGGGTCTAACTTTAACTTTGATCAAAAGGTTTTGTAACTGACGGTCATCAATACCATATCGATCAGTATTTTCGTATGTATGAGAAAATGTATTAGACTCTTTGGGTCTTGAAATTCTGGATTTAGGCCTCAGTAAAACATACTGTCTGGTAGCCTGTAATGAAATTTCGATGCACTTGGGTAATTCGCTTGAAGATGCCAAAGGTATTCGGAGTTTGACAACGCTTTAACCAGTAACACCTTCTAATACGAAGCGCACCCACCAAGTAAAATCAAAAGACAGAAGTGAGGAGATCGAAGATATATTTGATAAGCTATCAATATATCGAGGATCGTCTGATCTAATCTGGCTAGTGAATGCGGTAAATGTTGAGCACGGCGTTCTCACACGTGATCTAGTGCGGATACATGACCGAGCGCCTTCAGCTAGATGAGTCCATTAGAACTAATGTGGTCAGCATCCAACGCCGAAAACTTACAGAGTTATTTATTTTTTGGATTCCTTCACTGCTACGGAAACAAACTCTCTTTTTAAAACAGCAAACATTAGCAGAATGACGCTTATCACATCGCCAATAACATCACCAGTAAACATACTAGGTGTTACGTACCTGTTGATTTCGCGCGGTAGTGCCTTGACTACTGCGAGGAATTGTGCACGCGCATCGTTCACACCGTGCTCGAAGAAGTCGGCTTCTGCGTAATAAAATCAGGCTTCGATGTTGTCTGGCCGGAAAGGCATAAGTTGGAAAGAGGGTAGGGACACAGTCTTTAACTTAAATACTTTAGGGGTCTGTTCAGTCATAGTAATATATCAAGTACGAAAAGTGAACGAGTGGCAAATATATATATAAACCCAAAAACACGGGAAAAAAATATCACAATGTTAAAAAAAATTAAAATAAGACAATGATATATAAGATCACGAAAAGGAACAGACTCACAGTTTACAATATGGTGTACCAGATCACGACGGGCTCACCAATGAAGACGCCACAGGTATTCGGAGTTTGACAACGCTTTAACCAGTAACACCTTCTAATACGAAGCGCACCCACCAAGTAAAATCAAAAGACAGAAGTGAGGAGATCGAAGATATATTTGATAAGCTATCAATATATCGAGGATCGTCTGATCTAATCTGGCTAGCGATTGAGGCAGATGTTGAGCACGGCGTTTCCACACGTGATCTGGTGCGGATGCTTGACCGAGCGCCTTCAGCTAGATGAGTCCACTAAAACTGTGGTCAGCATCCAATGTCGAAAACTTACAGAGTTATTTGATTTTGGGGAATTATTTACCGCTACACGCTTTTTATGTCAACTAGTCTTACCGTTGGCATACTTCATGAAGCGATATAAGGGCTTTTACATGGAGAATCAGGTAGTGATGTTTATATTTGTAGATTAGTCTCATTGGGTCCAGAAGATAAAGGTTTAATACTATCAGGTACTGAATCGTCATCAATAGGGGTTACAGATTTTGACCTTTAAGTTGGCATACAAGTTGCCGAAATTTCTTTTTTACTAGTGTTACGTGTCATAATTTAAAGCTGGGTGAGCAGAGAGCTCGGTTAATTAAATAAAATATTTGAGTATATAGTTATTACTGAGTATTCACCAGCAGTAACCTACTGTGGGAGGGAGCAAACCAGATCCCAAAGGAAAAAGAAATCAAGAAGAAGCACTGGAATAAATAAATGTTACAAATTTCATTTTTTGTGGAACGAACATTATTGAGCCTATGTGGTGATTATTGACGAATAAGTGACCCTGAACTACTAATGCTAGACCCCCCATCTACACTGTTTTTGTTTACAACTACACTCCGTGAACAGACGCTTATGACAGTGGTATCACTGTTTCTTCTCTCTATTTTTACCAATAAATTAATGTAATGGCGTTGTGTTCGTAGTATAAGGTCAACAAAGTAGCTACAGTGCCTGGATATACTGCATTAAGTATTAACTACGGGGTGTGACTTGAATGCATGATGAGAGGTCACAAAATCCCTCTTACTCAAATAACATGGGCTTTCTACACACTTATGTGATACCAGAACCCAAGTTTCGTTTGCTTTTTGCTGATTAATCATTATTGTGTAAAATTCTTCCAATTAGATTTAAGTTTCACTTTATTCTTAATTTGAAGCACATGGGCAACCAACTGAATCTATCGGAACCCAAAAACTCTCAACCGTTCGTTCTATACCCTCAATATTTTGAAAATTACAAAAGGTCTAAAATGAATCATGAAACCATCAGATATTTGGAACAGACTGCAACTAGGCCTTCCCAATGACGACTTGCTCTCTCAAACTTGTCTCTGTCACCTAAACAGCAGTATGATTTATATAAACAAGATTCAGTACTTATTTAACGCAGATGAATCGTTGAATTATTGACCCAAATATCCGAAGTTCACTGAGATTTGTATTCATCCTTATTATGATCATCGATCTGATGAAATTTAAGTCATTTTACACTTGCCGTTCCAGAATTTCTAAATAAAAATCATGAAATCTTACAATGCACCTGACTTTTTCACAACTTATTTACAAATCCTACAAATTGTTATTTGATGGTTTCTCTCTGCTATCAATTGAGACTTTCTTCGCACCCTTCTAAATCATGAATTCATAGCTTCTTGTTCTGTCATCGAATCTCTATAAAATAATGATTTATTTCAAATTATGTGGGCTACATGTGATAATAATATATTTCTAGCATAACAGGTTTACAAATTTTTACAATAATTATCATTGATTCACAGCATGTATTAACAGATAAGATGATACCCAATAGGGTCATTCAACGAAAATAAATAACAGTACATACGGGCCTGTGTAACAGCAAATTAGTTGATAGGTTCATTTGTTAGTTCTTCATGATGAGTCCACAGTTGTCATGACCTGCTCAACACACTTCTGCTACAAACTTGGCACTCATGTGTTAGAACTGTGGTGCTGTTAAGTAATTACACAGTCCAAATTTTTAATTGATTTTAATTTGTTTTGATACAGTTGTCGAATGGGTGTCTTTATTTTGAAAAACGCATACGTTATGTTGGCAAATTCGTAGATAAAGCAGCTACTTATATGCCCGCCAGCATTCTCCATCAACCCTGTCCAGCTGCTATTCTTCTGTTTGATGTCTGCTTTCAATTCTGGACGCAATGTGGTTTTGGCCTTCCACTTTGTCGATTTTCTACAGGATTTCAAGTTAGAACTTGTCTTTATATGCAGCTTGATGATTCCCTCTATGTTTGTTCTATCGATTTCTAGTGTCTTCTTCTAATTTCATTTTCTGTCGGAAGCTGGTTTGTTTCTTCCTACAGTAGGCTGCTGCTGATGGTGTCCGGTAAACGAACATTGATGATGGTTATGTAGAATTAATGGGTCTAGATGATATTAGTACTGCTCTAATAATAGATCTGATCCTAAAATTGTAGATTCGTTATGATTTAACTGCCTAATCTGTAAGATCTTACATGAAAGTCACATAATCGTCTACACAAACTCACTTCATCCTAACAATTACCAAGATGATGGAGAACAAGCATAGGCTAGAGATAGAACAATATATTTAATATGAATAAAAGATACAAGGTAAAATTCAGTAGGGATCACGACTGCATGGTCGAATCATGCCATCTGGACAACTTCAATTTATTCATTGTTAAGTATTTCTCTGCGCTAAACGTTGAATGTCTGTTTCCCATAATGTCTCGTGTTAGGGCCCAATGCCACTACAGTTCTAATTGTTCTCCAAGATTCATCAACGTTCATTAGAAATGTTTTGACACGCTTTAGGAAAACTGAAATAGGCTATTAGTTGAAACATATATGACATATGTTCTCAATATCTTCGTGTATGTCGAAGGTTTTCCAGACTCTGAAATAATAATAATTTTTCTCTTTATTCCACCCGATCAAATGTCTACTAAATTATTAGATTATGTGCCCGATAAATAATACTTTTGACTGTTCGCACAAAGAATATGATATAACAACACTTCAGATTTTCAAAATGGTTGATCATTTTGTTTTCCAAACCTATCAAACAAATTATTGTATGATCTGAATGTAAATTCGTAGTTATCTTCTAAACGTGATTTGGTGCAGTACTATTATTATATTTGTGCTTAAGCTAGACATGCTTTCAGGTATAGTTCGAAATTATAGCTTTACAAAACATTTTTTCTCATTCGCACGCATTTTTGCATACAGCAGCAATTTCTGTATCATGTTTTACTGAAGTTAAATATATGTGGGTAAGTAAAGTCATCTTCGTTTCACTCGGGTTGTTTCCTCAACCTACATATCGATAATTTGAAATATTTCCATAATGTAAATTTAGAACAACATATATAAGCGAACAATATTGTTTTCGATTAGATCCTCATCAGGCTTTACTCTAATATACAGTAATATTTATATTATTATTTTTTTCTTCACCCTCTCCTACCATTTTATTTTATTTTTCACGGTTCAATTATCTGAACGCTTATTACGTCATCTTATAATTTTTTTATAAATGTTGTCTTACTATCTATATTTTTCTAATCATTGACCTATTTCCAGTTGTGTACCATTGATTTGAGCCTTTATTATTCTTAAAAAAACTAGTACACCTGTCATCACACTATCAATTTGTACTTTTCACATATTATGTAATCGTTTTATTCATCGTTATCATTGATTTATAAACCACCTTGGTTGGTTTAATAATTTCGTATATGCATACAAATATTACTGTATATTAGAGTAAAGCCTGATGACGATCTAATCGAAAACAATATTGTTCGCTTATATATGTTCTAAATATCGATAATTATACGGTACAGCATAGTATCAGTTGTCTTAAAAGCAGCTTATTTTCAAAATTCATCTCTGTCACATTGCATATAACAATTCAGCCATGAAAACAAATCCATGTTACCCTCAATACATTTGTGATTACTCTGAGGAAAATCGTTATTATTATTTAACTACGTAAAACAGCCTATGACAGCCGTAAATATCATTGTTACGCCGAATAACGTTCGGAATAGACGAAAACAATGTTAAATTGTGGAAAAGGAAAGTCGTAGCACTCTAGTGTGTCAAAGATAAACCCGTAATCTGATGTTGTGGTCGGAAGTGTAGGAGTTTGATTTAACAGCACTTGGCTCTTAGACTTTGAGTTATTTTGTTCAAGAAACGAAGGCTAGTCGCGGAGTCCGTACTATGTGATTTATATATTTTTTTGTGTGGTTTGTATATTTTCTTGTATGCTTTATACTACCTACGGCTGAGATGTTGCGAGCACATTAGTAAATGGCAGTTTAAGCATTCTTGATATACTATGAAAATGAGTCCAATTTAAAGGAAACTACTCTGCGAGCTATAGAACTAGGCATAAATAGCACCGACTGATTAACACGACCATACTATCCTAAGTGAACCGATATGTTCATGTACTGGACTTCATATAAAAGCATCGTTTTATCCTCTAATACCTATTCTCAATGCTGCTTCTTAATGAGGTGAATGTATTTTAAAACAGCTGATGGAATGACCATGATGCAGTAAAACCTTTTCTGTATGTTAGATTAGCTAGTTTTTTTCTGAAAGTCTAGAATCAAACAGCGTGACCCTACGATGTTTTACCATGGTTTCAACAGACGAATAACAGAAATGCCTCATAGGGTACAAGAATCTGCTACCGGCACAACTAATCAAACAGATATTTTAACGGAAGTGACTTGTAAGAGGAAGGCAATGTAGGCTTCTAAGCGGAAGCGTCAAACGACATAGACCACGACTAGAACGAAGCAACCTGAATTCCTGACATCGTCAAACATAGTAGTGGATTATATTCGTGTTTCGAACGACTGGCGGCCGTTCATAAAACCCTAAGATTCCCTTTATATGTTACCACTTATTGTCGGTTGGATTGGGCACGACATTTTCTCATTAAAAGACATTTTATTTGCGTTGCAGCATCTTATAATGAACAACTGCAGTAGTTCTGGTATGAGTGGAACGTGGCTGAACGTACATATACGAACTATGCAGGGTCATGAAGTGTGATTCATTACAAAAAGACCTTATGAGATTAAAAGGCACATATTATCACAAGCATATAGCAAAAGTCTGATACATTTGTTCAACATGTGATATGTTTAGGTCTTCCACAAACAGGACAACAACGCTGAATTACGGTCAGAGTATGTGTCATAGTGGGTGCAGTACTATCATAAAACTACGTGGCGCAGTTTGTCAACTTTCATGGTGACCTACATGTATTGGTTAATGAATTAGATAAGATCGGTGTATGCTTTAACCTGGTAGTGCTTCATCAATATTATTTTTTCTTTGTATTTTTGCCGCAACATAACGTCTAAATAGGGCTGTTGCTAATGGCAGAGTGGGGCAATCATCCAGTGGAAGAAGGGCTATCTGGAAGACACCTGATATTGATGTCCGGAAGTAGTTCTGAACTGCTCAGGCGGCTTGACAGTTATGGTTAACTTTTCAGACAGATAAATGAGCTTAAGAAACTGGTTCTCATTTGATTCCACAATACAATCCTTATTATAACCCCAGTTAAATGCTACTCAGGTTGGCTGCAAATAGGATATTTGAACAGAAGCAACAACTAATAGAGAGGTTTAGCAAGAGCCTGCCTCGCTCTTAATGTAATCCAAAGTTAAGTACTCGTGCTAACTCCGGAGTTGTTTCTTACACTATCCAGGATCTACCTCACCTCATATCTAAAAAGCCACAATATTGTTACAGTCACACATCAGTAGTGACATAATTCCCTTGAAGCAGATACAGGCAGGCCCAAGGTGGACTGACGGCAGTCGCAAATTATCCTAACGAGGTCCGGTGGCTTATTAAACTTAGTAAGTAATCCCCAGTGCAAAGCACTAGGCCTATGACTGTGATCTCACTAGCGAGGTTGTGAGAAGCATTGAAAAGATACATACTGAGTAGACTTCGCCGAAATAATGTGATCACATCTCTGCTTTAGGTATGTGGGATTCATAAATGAAAAGATTCGTCGCTTAATGAACGAAACAAGTTTTGGAAAAAGACGATACTCATATGACAGCCGTCTTTCTTCAGTATTGTGGTGTCTAGATATAGTGTTCCTATATCGGTTTCTGATTTTCGGTATTCGCAATAGGATGATTCATGACCCGTTGTTTAGGGCGAATTTCGAACATGTTTCCTATGCCGACCGATCTGTTGAGATACCACGATCTATGATTGTTGCAATGTTAGCTTGCTAAATATTCGCATGCAGTAGAAAAATATAGTACACTGTCTGAGACCTTACGTACAATACACTTTGATCACTGTTCAGAGGTAGTGTTAGGTTACGAAAATCAACCATATCATCAAAATGGTGTATGAAGGCAAGGTCTGGCAGTGATGATCTATATTCTAAGTAAATTTGTGTTTATTTTGCAACACACTTTACATGTGCTCACTGAATATTAGTGTGCTGCAGAGAATTGCATGCTCTATCAAAATGATGGGTGACACGTTGAAATCTTGATGATGAGAAAACAACTGGCCTTGCTCCGTGTCAGGATATGACTAGGGACGAAGTTTAAGAGAAGACAACTTGGACTTGTGGCAATCTAAGTTGGATCAACAAGAGTTGGTCGAAAATATCTTGGCAATGTCGAATTATTATAACTCAAAAATTCATTCACTTGCCTACTTTGCGTGGCTGTTAAAATTTCTATCGTTCTATGTTGAATGTCAAAAAACTTGTGTGTTCGAACGAAGGATCGTGCGCTTCAACTTTCCCATGGTCTGAATAAACACCTACTTTAACCACTGGTTTGGCTTTTTGATAAATAAAACAGGAAAGACTTCGGTCCATTCCTCTTGCAGTTGATGACCCACTTTTATTGTGCAAAATGTTATTTCATTTGCTCCACTTTTACACCTCTGATGGACTCGAGTGTGTGCGAATTTTGTCTTCAACATATAATATATTGACTACTCCGTTGTCGTTTATAACATTATCATTTTCGGAACAGATGTACACTGATGTAATTGGAGAACGAACTACACATATGATGTGACATATTTCTGTGGAAAAAATATGCCAGGGCTTAATTATTCCATCGTTAGGCTTAACATGGACGTTTCGTTTTATGAATCACTAGTTTTACCCCTACAGGCCTCAGAATATTTGACACACAAGATATAGCTAAACAAAAACATTGAGAACAAAGGTTTGTTTTGTTATTTTGTTTTTGAGTTTCTAAATCTTTGAGAACACCCTTCTTCTCAGTTACATCCTCCGGTGTTCAATATCTTCGGATAATAGTATCTGGGGTACGGATTTTGTATGTGTTATGTAATTTAACATCACGTTTCCACGTTACTTCAGAGTACTAGCCTTAAGTTTCTCTGTATTTTACTTTCTCTTTTAACTTGAGACCCATTTTTTTGGTTTTATGTACTACTACAAAAAAAGTGTTACAGAACAGTAACTTTAACGATAGTTAACGCAACTGAACGCTAAAAGGTTAGTGAGCCTAATTGTAAGAAAAAAAAACGGAAAAACGGTAAGTATGAATACTCAGATACACATTAATGCGACAAAATTCAATCGGATAAAGACATGTGAAGAGTATTTCAAGAAACCAAATATCGAATAAAGCGTTACACATAAGCTTTAGTCTAGCTATTGTTGCGTCATAAATCTAATATTTCAGAACGTTGAAAAATTCACTTTCTTAGCATCCTGGGTTTGACTCTTGGGTGTAAAACTGTGTACACACTTTTGAGGAGTCTCTAAGCCAAACAAGGTTTACAGTGATAATTTAGTTTCGATCAGTTCATGATCAAAACTATGAATATCAGTCTGTGTGAAAGAAATAAATTCACTGCATTGCACAATTGAGTGCGAAAGCTTTTTAATCATTGATGTACTACAATAAGATTATCATTATGTTAGATGTTGGATGTTTTGTTTCACACGCTGGAAATCGGAGGGATTTGAAAGTTCTTTATGTTACTGCGCTAAATTGATATGACGTTCTCGCGCTGTGGAAGTATCAACAAGTCGAGCTCACACAAAATATCATGCGAAGGATCGACCTCAGCAAGTTTTAAACAATATATTTATTTTCCTTTCAAAGGATATAGAAGGCTACAAATTCTCATACGTACGATACATCTGTGTTATTATTGGTTGTATTCTAAGTGGTGGACTTCTACGGTTACTGTTTCACTGGTTTCCTCACTGGATGCTATGGTGTACACATAGAACCTGTGATCTCAATGAGGCAAACAAAGTCAAGATAAAGGTTTGGGTACTTTTATTTTCAAAATGATCTCTGAATTTTATAAGGATATTTCTGGTATATACATCCATAAAGTCCAATATCCTACACGAAGAAAGTCAAGGTTAAGTTATTACTTGATTGGTATAACTGTTGCAAACTATGGGGTGTGTGATAAGTAAAATGAACTTTTATTCTTTTTTTAATCAAGGTCACAATATGACAGTTCAACAACAGACGCTTTTCTTGAGAACCAAACTGAACGCCCATATATCATACATAAAAAGCTAAAGTACATCTGGAACTTTGAGTCTGAAAATTTCGAGCTACTACAGTGAGTACAGTGCTTTTTTGTAAACCCAAATACGTAAAATCCATATTTATAAAGCAAATAGACTTTACTTTGTAGCTAATATTACAAATCAAAGTCTTTTTAGTGTCAAATTAATAGTATTGTTGATGTTTTGTGAGGTAAAATCGTGCGTAACTTTCATATGTGATCTGCATGTAGTGTAGGATATTTGTGTTCCGAAAGTACTTTAGTCGCCTTTTGTTTTACTAGATAAATCATGCTTTGAACAGAGTACATATCACTACTTGGGAATCGCACTTATTTACACATAGCTTTAGTTTCTCGAAATCCCAGGGTTTAGCTTTGATGAAACAATCAGACTCTGAGTATGTACATTTTTCAAGAAACAAATTATACCTCGTTTTGTTTTATACAGCTAGTTGAATTCTCCTGAAATATTGTTGAATTTTTTTTAGAAACTGGGATGAGCGTCCTTACGATGAAGTATTAAATGCACCCACCTTAACTACGGATCTAATTGAAACTCGTCGAAACTTGTATGGAATTAATAAGATAGATGTCAGTCTTACACCCATAATGAGGCTTGTTTTGAATGGAGTACGTTATTAATTTTAGTATGAATTTATGTTCTTTTCGGTTTTTACAGTAAATAAAAACAAGTGATAAAATGTCCTGAATCTGGTCTCAACTTAAAATGAATACTTCATAAATATCATGTTAAGAAAACAACATCTGTGTATATTCCTAATCTATAAAACACATTTGTGACTGTTAGTGTATAATAAAAGCCGTCAAGATGTAAATTTTAACTAGTATGCATATGAATACACAAATTTTCAATAACCAAGCAAGATGCAAACCATGAACATAAGTTCATGGGGTTACTTTATACAACTAATTACAAAATTACATTTTTGGCGCAAGTCAGTATTAAGTATGTACGAGCATCTGTTCATTCATTAAAAAACCGAATTCGTACACACGAACGCTGAAAAAACACACCAGGGAGATTTTTCCGTGAGGCAAACTGGTAACCTGAGGTCATTTGCGTACCTAGCTCTTGTATGCTCTACAAATATAGTATACTAGATGGAACTTAACTAGCGTGTAGGGTTTTCTGATAGCATAAACTGGGATTTTCGACCTCATTTATTTTTAAAAAATCATCTTTGTAAACTCGTGGTTGCTTACTTCAGTCAAGTTGTTTTATTTTTATTCCAGTGTCTCACCCCGTTTCACTGCTTTCAAGTGTTCAGCTGTGTAATATGGTTTTGCGTCGAGTACGAAATATATGCAACATGTATTGCTGTGTTCTCTGTGACATCACTTATTTTTCAGGTTTACGAGCTTCGTAAGGTGAGGAAGTTTGCTCATGTCGCGTTCAATATTTTCACCACAAAAATGCTAAGCTAACCAAACGGTCATATTATTTAAATGTGGTTTTACCAATCAAAAACAGTGTTCAGGTTTTTCAGTGTCCTTGTCGTCTATTATTACGATATCATTTATAAGGCAAATAACAGGGATTACCTTTTAGTTAAAATACATAGAAATCATTTAATTAAAGCAGAGTTTCACTTTGTTTGAGTTTAGACCTAATGTACGAGGGATTGTTATAGCATGTGAATACCACAGCTAAACTAGCTGTTGCGGTTTTCTATGCTGGGGCTCATCAGTGAACATTCGATCATTTATAACATTGGGCTATAACAAATTTCATAGTTTTCTTAATTGAAATTTTTGAAAATATACAAAGTAAAATTATAAAGAATGTAATTATCTCTATGTAGATATAAACAAATAAGTAGAAATAATGTAGCAACCCAAACAAATATGTAGAATGCCATAAACTAAGAGTTAACTGTTTCTAGTCTCTGAGGAGTGGTGACTACAAATAGATTGTAAAAACAGGGTATAAAGATCCCTAATTTCTATCAGATTTCATAGTTTGCCGTTTAGTTTATAGTACTCATAACCAGCTACTCCTACCTCAACGCGCATTAGGTTAGTTTGACGAAAGAACGGAGGGACTAAGCAAAGCCATCGTGTTAACTTTTAGTGTCTATAGTTGCCTATAGTTGCAGACCTGTCGATACAGGAGTTGGAGTATTTGAATGACTATGTGAAAAAAGTTACAGTATCTCGTCTGCATTCATTCTTTGCCTCACTTACTTTTTGGCCTGCACGCTTCTCGTCTTTTATGGAATTCGTTTCTTTCGGACTGATATTTTATGTTTTATTTACTACTGCAACTAACATTATTTTGCCTCTTTTGTTTCTTTCTTCGTTAATTATTTTTTCTTACTTGCCGGTGCTGGGTGTGGTGACGTGGATCAATATACGTTTGTAACAGGTCTCATACTGTCTAGTACTAACTGCTGAAGTATATACTCAGGTCATTTACGTTGTACAGACTTCGACTGTTTTCGTTTTAGTTACATTATTGCACGATAACTCATGTTTCCTGATAAGTGCATTTTTTATGGACAACGCATGTATAGCCTAGCTAGGAAATTCAAAAAAGATAGTTTCAGTAAACCGACACACCTGTGAAAAAGTCTCTTGGTGGTGTTGACTGTTGCCATGATTCTAGGAAACTACATATATATATATATATAACTTTTAACCTGGAGTTGAGTTTGGGGCATCTGAAGACTCCCCACATATCATTATGTTAGCCTTTGCAGCCACATTCCATCCAATTAAACTAGTAACTCATCTTGTTATTGACTGTTTGTTAACATTTGCAGCACTTAATTTTATTGGTTTTTGAATTCATCACGTGCAATAAATTAGTCTTCGGGTTAGAAGTCAACTAAACAAGACTCAGATAATAAATAAAAATGATTATTTATGTATGTAATGATCGGTAATTAATACTAGTTAGCTAAGTAAATAGTTCATGCTTATTTTGGAAATTTTTCTGTGGATCTTTAAACGTTACATTGATGTCAAGTGGCCAAAACTAAGTCCAGATGATAATTATTCCACTTATTTTTGTGTAAATTGAGTTTGTACCGAAATCCTGATTGATTTATGTAACTTAACACTGGACAATTATTTTCTGCATGAGGAAGCTGTCATCGTCCGTTTCTAACTCAATGTACCTTTTAATCAGGACTTTGTTTAAGATTAATGGTTCTGCGGAGTTACACACAATGCGAAACATACTTTTGCATGAATTGGTTTTGATTATTAAACTCACTAAATGGATATGTTTAGAAATTAGCATCAATTTATTCCTTATCCAATAACTTAGAATGAACGAGCCTTAAAGAAAACTGTATGCATTTCATCTAAGGTTACTGTATGCAGACGTCGTGACGGGGAAGATGGTAAGTTTGAGTGAATTTAAAAATTTTATTTTTGATATAAAGATTTAAATACATCTTTAATGTACTTGTAACCGACTTAGTTTCACTAAAACTCTTGAGGCACACAATCGTTATCTTTGTTGGATGTCCTCTCAATGTAAAGACATTTTTGGCATTGCACGTGGTAGTTTCGCTAGCACTGCATGTACAATATGTTTCTTAGTATACTGATCAAGATGCTAGACTTTGTTGTTTATTCCACTGCTACTCACCATCTGTCTCTGCTTATGATGCATGTAACTTAAGGTAATATCGAAGCAGTGTGCACATTGCACAAGCTAATGGCTATCTGGACTCGGTCACTAAGTGAATAGTGCGATGGCATTTGAAGCGAATAATTCTAGGCTCGAGTTCCGGAGTGAACATCAACTCTGGGATACAGGTATATATAGCTGACGAAACGCGGGTCCTGGATTTCTTTGCTAACCAGCACCCATCTCTGCTTGTAGTGTAGTTTATCTTACCATAATCTGGTAACTTGTGTGCATATTTCATGCATATACACAAATCAAGGCCGAATATTCAACCTAATTTAGAATTTGCTGGTTTTTATACTAGGCTAATTTTAAAAAGAAGTTTGTGAATTTTAAAAATATATTTCTTTATGTTCAGGAAAGTTACACAAAAGTAATCATACCGAGACTGTACATTGATTTGCGGATCTTAAAGATTTTTTGGTTATTTTCAACTAAACAAACCACTGAATATGGCAAAGTGTTTAATTCTAGACTGTTTATTTGTTCCGAAGTGTGAGATGTCATACACTACATATTTATCCAGATAGATAGAAATTGTCACGGATCCATCAGTTTTAGTAACCAATAACTACATTTCTGTTTACTATCTAGAGAATAGCATCTTTCGTTTAGAAATTTAGCTATTAAGAAAGTCGTGTTTTTTTAGTTTAATGATTAATTGCCACTTTCAACTAAAAATAATTTCATAGATTAGATGAAGTATAGCCAGATATGCTTTCTATAGAGTCCTATTGAGCGGTTGCCAATTTAATGTTTTATATGGTATTATTTCAACACTTTGACTATTTAAACCTTTTTTGATCTAGTAAAAAATGTCTAACTCCTCTATAAACTGGATGCAAAACCTAAATAAACTAGACCAGCTGATAAATTGTTTTAGCTTTTATTCAGCCGAACATATTTTCCTATTTAATTCGTATAATTAAGTTTTTTTCTAAATTAGGTTTAAATATACTGATGTGAAGCTAGGTTCATTAAGGTTGAAATATTCACTCAGCAGTGAATTTGGAAGTACAGATATAAAGGTTTTTGCTTTTGTTTTTCAGACATTGAATAGTATTTAAAATATTCCACCAACTCACGTTTTCAATCGGTTTGGATTTCAATCGATTCTGTTTTAACGACAAAATTAAATAAAAAAACGTGATATTTTATGTTTTTGGCACCAGAAATGAAGTAGTAGTCTATTCCGACAATATGAAAAATGCTCCATGTATTTAATTTTTACTGAAATACTATGCATAATTGCAGTTAGATTTTAACCTTACTCAAGTGAATCACTCCTACAATTTTAGAGGTCACATAGTTTAACCGAATTTTCTATCGATCTCGTTAGCTAAAAAAGTATTCTGTTATTATTTGTTATCATAAGATGTTTACGGTCCAAAGTATGCTAGTAAATAGCTGTAACCTTTAACGTACAAGAAGAATCACTTTACAAGTTTAATTAAGTACTGGGAAACTAACATACTTGAAACGTTTATCATTGACGGTGGTGCCTGAACGAGTTACATTATTAGCTTTAATTACTGTTTAATGTATCTTGTTTAATAAGTTTTTTTACGAAATTTAAAGGAAAAAAGTAAATTGGAGGACTTTGTAGCAATAAGAAATTTATCTTTTCATACCCCTTTTTTCATTGGGTCTTTATCACTGATTCTATAATATTCATGCCGTTACTTAAAACAAACGAAATATATCTCATGCTGTCAAAGTTTCTTCTCGATCGTCTTGTGATCTAGTACAATTCTTTCTTTAATAAGCTCACTAGCTTGACTTTCGTCGCTTAACAATTTGTCTTAATGGGATCAATGGTAAAATCATGGAGTTGTGGCCAGTAGATTTTAAATTCTAGTCATGTTAGTTTTACTACTTTTGCGTCCTGTGTATTTTAGATGACCATTCCTTAGCTTTCCGAACAGTGGGAATAACTGATAGATGCTTAGATAACTGAGTTCGAAATTTGCCTGCTAGCTTTGCATTAGTTTAAGAAGAGAGGTGAGTTTTATTTGGTTGTAAAAATATTCATATATCGAGCTTTGTTCCTTAAATGTAGTATGAAAGCTGCAGAAAGTGTTTTTATGATTATTTTTAATTGTTTACCTTTTAAATGATTGCATAGGGTACTTCTTATGAGTATATTGTTCATTGTACGGTAGTAAAAATTAAATCTCTAGACACCCGATCTATATTTTGAACCTGTCAGGTCAATATAGATAATTGTGTTGATATTTTAAAATATCTCACCAACCCCACAATCGGAGATGCTGATTTACAGTAAAGTTCTTCCCGTGTTCAACAAAACGTGCTATAGTTAAAAGCTTACATGATGTAGAGATTAACAGATAGTTTGCCTTGCAAAATGTGCATTAAAATTTAACTCTGTATTTATATGTCTTTATCTATGTGTGCGACCAGTTATTTAAGGTACACCGCATTCATTTCACTGAAGGAATAGAACTGAATGTCATTTTGCTGGCTTTATAACATCAGCTTATTTGAAAATCGACAACTTCCTCAAGCGAAAACTACCTGCTTTCTTCACTGTGACTCTAAAAAACAACAAGCGTTGATTCGATCAAATAGAGTCTATTATGCGGCTGCTTTCTCCAAACAAGGCTAGGGAAAACGATTTATGTATATTTCTGTTTTCTAATGATTAGATTTTATGCTTGTCGACTCAACCGAATTGGTACCAGGAGATTTAATTGCCATTCCGAGTAGTGGATGTTTGATGCAATGTGATGCAGTATTACTGATGGGGAACTGCATCGTCAATGAAAGTAGCTTAACAGGTAGGTCTTAAAAAATAGTAATTTTCATATCTTGATCTTCATCGTAAAAGTTTAAAATCGTTTTATTCATTTGGGTTCTAGCTGTTTTTTTATTTTTTAACTGAAAATGTAGCTTCATCCTTGTTGGTAAAATGCTGTATATTGTTTACAAAGAAATAAAGAAGCAGACGGGCATTTCAAGAAGCCTGTTTTCGCAATTTATTTGGACAGATACAGAAGACAGTGCTTCTTCGTAGTCTCTACCTACGCTACCACAGGCTGAATTTCGGACACAATAGATTATGAGTTTTTAATCGCTCGAAAATTCCTATTATATTAAAACACATATGAACGAAGAATATTTTAAATAATTTCTCATCAGGTTCTACAATTATAAATCCAAATTAATAATCCATAAAATTGGCCAAATTTAAGGCAGAGTACATTATTTCTTCAATTCTTGATTCACATATTACAATTTTAAATTCTTGAAAAGAATACTCTTCGTTCATATAATTGTGTATTAATATGAGTTTTATTGAAAGATATTAACCCTCTAAAAGCTAGACGCTCAGATGTAGTGAATGTAGCCAGTAATTTTAATTCCCGATTGTGTGATCTTAACCGTATCGAAAGACATTTAAGTGAGTGCTACAGTGTCTCAGCTCAGCAAACAGATAATGCAGACCGGCTGCCTCTACTGTCTAGTTTTAGCGGGAACCAACTTTAAACAGAATAAAAGGGATTGTGCGGCCTGGCAACTTTGAAAACCGACCTCACTGTCACTAGTCATCATTAGACAGAGTCTGTATAAGCCTGTCTCTCATCTTAGAGTACATACTTAAAGTCTGGTCACACTTGCAAAGGCCTGTTCGCTTTAATGTTACTAGACATAGAAGAGCCTCATCAAAAAACCACTTGATAATGAAAACCCAAGAGTGCATTACAATAACAACTGGAGGCAGTTAGTCGGTCATTAAAGTAATGTTTAGTCCTATGTATATTGATATCTACCAGCGACATATAAAAACGTTGGAGATATCAGTGGGTTTCGGTGGCATTCATTGAGCTCATAGATGCTCAATAGCTCATCTCGTTAGGATTTGAACACGATAACTAGCGAAACCAACTAAAATCTAGGTTGACAAAAGGTTTATGCTTGATTGTGAGTGGTGGTGGGTAGCGAATTTAGAGATGGGAAAGGCTGCGGCTAAAGGTAACAGCAGACAACTTTTCAGACTTATCAAAAATCAGCGTTCAGGAAGTCAGGTATCAGTGAGACTACATCCAAAATAGATGGGACCAATCCAGACTTTTGGAATGATGCGCGGAAACGTTGAAGAACAGTCTAATTATTTGCCAGTTAATTACCACTACGAAATAACAAGGATGGGAGATTCGACTTAGCGATCTGACAGCTAATGGATGTGAAAAAGCCCGAGCTAGTCTTAAGCGAGAATGAGCACCACGGTATGATAGATTAACCTCGAAGACTACTTCTACTACTGCTAAAAAATTGCTTGTCTTTCTATTTCTAATCTTTTGAGGTATTTCTTTACAATTCTATCTCTCAGTGTCCTTATTTTTGGGCAAAATGTTAACAATATTTAAAAATATTAAACCATTTTTGTTCACTCTACGGAATGAATATATTGAAATAGTTCATTATACTGAATATCTAAGGAAAAGTGTAGTCACAGGTGGTGATGAGTTAGTTGCCTTCGATACTGTGTTGTTTATTTCAGAATGATCTGCAATCCTTTTTAAGGCTGCATAATAAAAATACTCATATGCCGGTTAATCGGTATAATGTCTCTTATGTTCCTTTGTTACTAAATGCGTGAGACGCGGTATGATCTGAATAAAATTCATTTGTCTGTTTGGTTTCAACTTGATAAATCTAGGCCGAATGAATTACACAAGTAGCTGACTACAGAAATTTCAGTATTCGTTTACGATCATTTTATATATATTTTTTTCTACAATAAAGTAGGTTTTTAGCTTCATTAAAAGTTTATTAGATCAATTGGAAGTGAAGATTCATTCTTAGTGAATGACTAATTCACTCTACCTGAATAGAGTATTTAAATTGACACACTGATTCTGTCACTAACCATAATGAATGATTGATTGGAACCTCTGATCATACATTTCTGTCAGTTTTTCTAGTCTTAAAATGATCTCGGAATGATTGATTATCAAACTCAGGAGATAAATGTAAACGTCAGGTAAACACTGTCGTATTATTAGATTCTTCAAAATTTACATGACTCAAAAGTGACTCGTAAATACAAGTAACACAGTTACTTACTTTTAGAAAAGAGTACATTTAAATCACTTATTATTAACAGATGATAATATATTTAAAGTATCTGTTTTGTTCGCGGTCAGTAGTATGACCAATCAAAATTCATACACCTTCGTGTAGATTATACTGTTGTATTCCAGATTGTCCTAACATTATCAACCCATTTCTAAGTTGCCATGAGCGTCAGCTACCCTGAGTAAGTCACCTGATGAATTATATGTGCGTATAGCGACTTAACATTCAGTAAAAGTACTTGCTATATAGGCACAACTTGTACGGTATAAGAACATCAAGCCGTATTGTTCGTAAATGGGGGTATAGTTATTACAGTGATTTATTTTTATGTACATACCACCGATCATTATAAAATTCTTACAGCTTTAACTTGGAAAACAATGTTGAATGTGAACTGTTATTAATATATCTGATACAAAAGAATGAAGAATCATTGAAAGTAATCTGTTAAATATAAATTACGTTTCAAGTTAATTTTCTGGTACTTTTAATAAAAATTTTAATCAAATTAGACTCATAACCTTGATAAATTTTGTTAGTTCTATTCTCTTCTTATTAGTTTGAATGGCGACCTTGTGTTTTGTAAAATTGTGGCCACTTGTACACATTTGTGCAGAACCTACTGTGTTTGATTAAGTTTCATATAGAGGCACGCTGAAATGTTTGTAATTCCAGGGTTTGGAATCCTCTTTATATGATTGTATATGCAATTGAATGAAAGGCTGTTTGTACAAGTAATTTAGTCGTTTGAAATAATCATATAAGTATTTATAAAAAGATTTCCGTTATTATCTCACCATTCGATTCAATCAAGATAATAAGAACGCATTGAATGTCTACCATAATAAAGTGTTATAACGAAGAAATAAGAAATATATGTAAAGAATTAATTTAATTCATTCTAATCATATGGCATTTTATTAGATTGAAACAAGAAGCGTTATTGGGAGTAAAAAATCATGTCATAGTTAAAATACATGATTGTGTTGCAAGGATAAAAGCTAAACAGGTAATCTGGAAATAAATCATGGAAAAATGAGCAATAATTTATCTGATATGATGAATAATTCACTGATTTGAAGTCACCGGATAAGCGAAATCAATCAGCTTAACACGCATACAACTGACTACCAAGGTGTCGAAATTTCGCTTACAATTTTCCTGTTAGTCATTCGAAGCCAATACAAAACTACCAATATGGATTCATCTAATATTTAAATCTTTTCTCTATCGCTCAAAAAATGCATGAAATTTAAGCTTTAGTTTGTCCATTAAGAGAAATAAATCACTTATATGAAGCTTCTTTTAAAGTAATCAATTAAAATATGTGCTAACTGGTTATCGTAAATATTTTATTGGATATTAGGTGAAAGCCTCCCGATTACAAAAATCCCACTGCCCAATGGACAATATGAAAATACAACATTTGATTTTCGTTCATGCCCACGACATATTCTCTTCAGTGGCACATCTGTCATTCAGACACGTGGTGATATAAATAAGCGTGTTTTGGCTGTTGTTATCCGAACGGGATTTATGACCACTAAAGGAGAACTTGTGCGATCAATCATGTTTCCGAAACCCATGAAATTTAAATTTACTCAGGATGCATATCAGTTTTTGGGAGCTCTTTGTGGAGTGGCACTTGTTGGTCTGTGTGTCTCTGTTTATCTCATGGTAAGTTCATCATCGCTTTTGTTTATTACTATTTCAATTCAAAGTATAAGAACAATAAAGTCAATTGAAAAATAATATTTCCAGTAGTAATTGTTATTTGATTTGTAGCGTTTCTTGACATTAGAGCTGCCTTCTTTTCATTGAACAGGACTGCTCTCTGGGAGTGTCTATCGAAGAAGGGTGTGCCTGAGAAGTTTATTAACATATTGATAACATTATATATAAACACCTCACTTAGAGTGAGAGCATACAACCACGTCGTTCCATTCAAGCTGTGGGGTTAGGCAGGGTTGCCTCATCTTACCATTCCTCTTCAACTTCGCTATCGATGATGTTCTGGAAACAGCTCTGATGGATGTAGATAATAATGGTGTGGATCTGTTATTTGAAGGAAGACTTTTTGACATTGAGTATGTGGATGATAATGTCTTACTGTACGATAATACATAAGCCGTGCTATCCACACTTAATAAGTCGGCACTTAGTGTCCGTGGGTATGGTATTTATTTCGCACCTTCGAAGTGCAAAGTACTTTTACGGGACTGAAAGGACCCTGATCCTGCACTCATTCTAGGTAGTGAACAGATAGAATTAGTCGAGACGTCCGTGTATCTGGATGACTGAGTAAGTGCTAATGGTGGTGTGGGTGATGAGATCGATTCACGCATAATGAAATCCAGAGCGGCTTATGCCAATCTGGGCCACCTTTGGCCGTAAAAGGTCGGATCTACAACGCGTCAGTGAGAGCAGTTCTGCTCTATGCTTGTGAAACCTGGCCTCTCCGAGTTGATGATGTTAGACGACTCTCTGTGTTTGATCATCGTTGTCTCCGAAGGATTGCTGACATCCAGTGGCAACTCCATGTTAGTAATGCAGAGGTTCGGCATCGTGTGTTCGGTTACAATGACGACAATTGAATTAGTGTCACTATATTGAGACATCGTTTTTGGTGGCCTGAACATGTCCTACGAATGTCGTCCCAGACAATTCCATGCCGTACATTATTTGCTGACGATGGGTCTGGTTGGATAGAGTTGAGAGGCGGTAAGCATATGAGATAATGTCGTGGTATGAAAGAAAACTAAACGGCATTGGGTTCTGTTGGTCCTTCACGAGTCGCTGGTTGGGGTCCTAGAGATGGTGTGACACAGTGGCTTGAGACGTTATCAGATATGGCTCAGAATAGAAGCCAATGATGATCCTGCTGTAACTGTCTTTTACTTTCGTCATGGAAAATGAACGTAACTTCTTTAACTGAAAGAACTCTTTCTGGTTGTACTTTTTCTAACTGAACTGCCTCTCTCAATATTATTATTATTATTATTATTATTATTATTATTATTATTTCACTCATACACTAATTTCTGTTCGCTTTTGTTCTCCTTTTTCTTACATGCCTTTTGCATCCTCTATCTCTTCAAATTCTTCTTGTTGTTGTATGGCACATATGTATTTGATAACCCTTTGTATCAATATTAATGTGTTCAGATAAATAAATAATAAATGCGATTGGAAAAATCCTATTAATTTTATAAATTATCAAAATATATTACGCAATACTTTTGAATACACTGCAAAATTAAGTATTGTGGTCCAATATCTTGTTTCACACATACTATAATCATCAGTACTGTGGTCTTGAGTTATGGTTTAGCCAATTAACAGAAGGAATTTCATAGTTCACTTGTATGTATAATAAAATATCTTTTTAAATATATATTAACGATCGAATTCACGAGTCGGTCTAAGCTCGACCATCATTGAGAAACTGGAAGCATTGGACAGCCGTTTCGTCATAGTATGGAACTCTTCAGCAATGTGTATCTACGATTCCGCCTGCGGGACTCAAACCCAGGACCTTCGGTCTCGCGCCCGAACGCTTGACCTCCAGACCACTGGGCCGGCACCCAGTGATGTTAACGTCTAACTCCAATCAATCTTGCCCAACCCTTCACCTATTGTCTGAGGTGGATAACTGTCTCACATTCGACACGAATTAGACTACACTGGTCACTAGAACTCCAGGAAATCTATCGTGGTTTAACTTAGATCTCGAGATATGGAGCTAAATATTCACATTTGATTGATCACTGGGTGGTGACCAATGTCATGAGTGTCTATTCCTTATTATTAGTGCAGATCTAATTCTATCGACCATGTCACAATGTGGCCACCAGTCTAGGTGACTCGACACTGCGGACACTATTGTGAGATTAGATGGTGGTTGGAGGTAGTTGACAGGAAACTCTGGACCCGGGATTTCGTGCTACTTGGCACTTGTCAGCAAGGTGTACCTGTAATCTTTGAGGGAACTGGTGCTCCCTGGAGGATTCGAGTCACCTAGACTGGTGGCCACATTGCACTAATAATAAGGACTAGACACGCATGACATTGGTCACCACCCAGTGATCAATCAATTGTGATTACATCTCAGTCCTACAGGACGTCGGTCGCGGCCTGGATAGCTCAGTGGTAACGCCTCTGACTGTGAAGCTGGGTGACACGGGATCGAATCCTCCAGGGAGCACCGGTTCCCTCAAAGATTACAGGTACACCTTGCTGACGAGTGCCAAGTAGCACGAAACCCGGGTCCAGGGTTTCCTGTCGACTGCATTCAACCACCATCTACTCTCGAAGCTAAATATTGTACTACATATTATAACTTCATTAAATTTAAATATATTCCTACCAGTTTTTTAGTTTTATTCTACGCATTTAAAAATAAATATTTGATTCTGCTAAATATTACACGTACAGTTTTTGGTATGTTTCGGATTGTGTATAGAAGTGAAATACATAAATCGTATTGTCTTTTACTTGAAAATCGTCAATTGGATATGAATTTATTCTATATTTTGCACTACGAATTGAACTCTGATCGAATTCTGTTCTGAAAATCAGCAACGAACAAATACAAATGATTACGTGTACAATTTTTGTTTGGCTTCTCTGTAGTACGTTGCACAGTGGATTACTTTACATCTAATAATTTGTTATGAGTAACTTTTAGAAAATTAAAGGTTTAATAGCGGTTTCTTCATTGCTAGTAATAAAGTTAGTATTGAAGTAGCCATTTGACTTCAAATGGAGAATATGTATTTTTCTCCGGTATTGCTTTGAATCTGTAACCAAACATCATAAAATTAACCTTTTAAATATTTTCAAAGTTATATTCTTATTTCCTTTTGTGCTAAATCAATGTACCATTATTTGATTTATTGTAAATGGATTGTCATTTAAACACTAGATTTACTTAATAACTCATTATAATTTATCTCTTTTTATAAGGTTCACTTTGTAAATTTTTAAATTTTAAATGTTGATTTCAACTAGTATTGGAATAAGAAGGAATTGTACTACATTATTTTGAGACCTTTGGACTTAGTAACAATTGTGATACCACCTATTCTGCCAGTGGCGATGAGTGTTGGAATCGTTTTCGCTCAAAGGCGACTTCGTAATCACGGTATTTATTGTATAAATCCAAGCGTTATGAATGTTTGTGGTGTGATTAATCTCACCTGTTTCGATAAGGTTTGTGGTGTGTTTTGCTTTTTGTATTCTTCTTAGATATAATGTTTTTATTTTATTTATCCATCTATTTGTTTTAATGATGAATGTGATCGATTCTTTTCACGAAGTTATTGGAATATTGTATTAGGATGAAGTAAAAACAAATTATTAAGTAGAAAATATACGTGCTGGTAATTGGAGATAAGTTATTTCTCTGCATTTGTAGCCCAATAGGCGTCTACTTTTTCCTTCTTGTTTTATAGAGAAGTGGGAACATGAAGTCTTCAACTTTCAAACAATCAAGGAAATAGAGCTTCTCACGTCTGAGATTCAGTTTAATTTATTATATATCTAAACAGCACTTTGGCATAAAGTGGTAAATGAGCAACAAAATTAATCAAAGTAGAACTTTGCTAGCTGACATTTCATAATCCGCCTTTCTTACTGACATTTAGAATGAACAAAATAATGAGAAACAATCAACAACCCACCATAATAAGTTATTATTGAGTGTTGAGTTGTTCATAAACTGCAGAATGAAAAGTGGTAAACTTGCTAGCATTGTTGTCGTCAAACTGCAATCATGTTACCAAAGTCTCTAAATGCGTAAAGATTTTGGTTGTTGATTACTACGCTAAATCATACACTTCTGACAAGGATTTGATGAGCTAATTTTCTGATGACAAACTTTAGTTTGTTCATCATGTGGGTTTTGTATCCAACTACTGGTTTAAAAATTGGATAATGATAGATCACAACACCATCGATTGATTTGTCGTCTTTACTAGGATCATTTAACATGATTGCAGAAAGTCACAAAGGACGTGTATTTTAACACATCTGGATGGTAACCTTATTTGGAGGATCATGTGTGTAAAAAAGTACTTGAAATTCAAGGTGTTGAAATTGGATATGTTGATAGACGAAAATTCTGATGAAAAGTGTTTATTAAACAAAACTCGTTCACTCGCCGGTTTTGTTTTGAACTTCAAACTTTTCTATAAATCACGTGAATTCTACTCTGTGTACATCTTCGACTTTTCGGAAAGAAATCAAGTTGTAGAGCGAATCGGTGGAAATGCGTTAACTTGTTTTTTGCTCTCATGTTTGTATGGCAAAGAACTCGATTGTTTTAAAATACAAATTTATACCTAACTATCTAAGTTTCTAAATATCTTAAGTATTTAATTTGAATTACCTACGTACAATTTGTAAATATCACGTTGCGTGATCCTGATCATTTCAATGGCTTGATTTTTTTTCATCGAACAACTGATGTTTCAGTTTAGTTTTAACCGCATAGAAGATTGATGTATTACGCAGGAAGTTAAACGCGTTATCAAATTATTCGAGGTTAATTAGTAAATCGTATCAAAATTCAGAACTTCTGAATTTTCTAGGAAACTCAATAAACAAATAGAAACGTATGAATTTTGAGAATAAAGCATAACGAGATATAAATTCCAATAAAGTTATTTGTATGCAGCACCCTTTAAAAAAGTATAAAACCGTCCTTTAATAGTACTTTTATAATACTTTTAGTTTTGCTTCAAGAATATCAGAATTTTTGAAATACCAAGATTTTGTTAGTTTTCTTCCCTTGAATCCGTAAACCTAAGTTTATCTGGTACAATGAACTATAACGTTTAGAATGATATGATCTCTTTTCTCTTTAGAATGTTATGTATTTACTGAACAATAATCTCTTCTTATAGAGATTGTACTATTTTTAAAATATTGCATCTTATATACGTCATGTATACTGGTTGACATAATATGGTTTAGCTTGCTGTTTATCGGTGGCATCACTACTAAGAGTCTCAGTGCACGAATAACGTGGTGAATGTTTTATTGTGACTGACTGCATCGTTACATCCGTTTAGTTTAAAATGATTACCTCTATATTTGTACTGTTGGTTGTTTCACTGCTATAATTGTACCGTACAGTTTATTATACAGATAAATTGATTTAGAAATAGTACTTAGCGTTCCATTTAAAGTCACTGTTCATAGTTATCCTACTGTTTCACATGAGAAACAGTGCTTTGTTCGCTTTGCGTTAATGCGCCACACACGGTTCTTGGAGAAAAATCTAATTAATCTAATTATTTCTTTCGATAAAAATTATATTTGAAACAGAAAGTTTTAAAATGTAAGTGTGGAACATTAGTGAATGAGTGATCCACTGACTAAGCAACATCAAAGTCGGTGGTTTTTCAAAGGAAATAGTTATATCTTCCAATAGTTTGCTGTTTGATGCTCTTGATTGTCTTTTGTTTTGTCATATTAGACTGGTACTCTAACTGAAGATGGATTAGATCTCTGGGGTGTCGTCCCAAACAGAGATGGAGTTCTTGGAAAGCCTGAATTTGAACCATCAAAGTTAGATTACGGACCTTTGATTGAATGCATGGCTACTTGTCATTCACTGACTCGAATCGATGGCGTCTTATCGGGTGACCCCTTAGATGTGAAAATGTTCCAGTCTACCAAATGGGTAAGTTTTATATTTCCGAATGGTTAGAGTAATTTACACATAAACTTCGTATTTTGAAGAGACGAATATACGTATTTGATTCGCGTTCACTTGAAGTTGAGTAATACACGTTTCCAAATATTTATTTCAGAAGTCACTGCATCTGTGGTAGTGATCTGATTTCGAGTTCTCGTAACTGAACTCCGAACATTACTGAAATTATTCACTCGATGTTTTCTAGCTATTGTATTTCCCTTATTATTTTCATCTTATTGAGAACTACAATTGTACTGAGCGAGCCTCTTACTTCTTCCATAATTATAGATAAGCTCACAATAAGTGTATTCCATTTGATCCCTGTATTTCAATCGTTGGATGTAATGGTTTTGCAGGAATTAGAATAAATGCCTTTAGAATCATTTGTTGCGTTTACATTTGATGAATGCAGCTGAAAAGTGTGATATATGGTTTCCGCGGACATTTGTCTTGAGAAATCAACGTTTAGATACAAGCATGTTAACCGGTGACCTTCATGTTCTACGTAGATGAAGGGATAATGCTGCGGGCGATTCGGCTCTATTTATTCACAAATTTATGCCTGTACAGCAATACCAATGATTGTCAGGTACGATTTATTACCACCCATAAGCCATTCCATACTCTGCGATTGGTGTTTAAAAGGATAATATCTGGAACAGAAACATCACTTATGAAGTTCACTCTGTGGTTTTATTTTCTGGCAAGATTGTTATTTGCTTCTTTAATTGTATCTAAAGCTATAACCAAAATAGTTTTCTAAGTAGACTTTCGCCTTGCAAGAGATACTCTTGGCTGTCTATCTACTCATTTTAGTGAAACTTGAACTTAATAATTATTGAGGAGAACGTGGCAGCTCTGTACACGATGAAGAGTGGGAAGAAATCGGATCCAGGTTAATCAAAATTCTAAAGAATGACTGTGAGCAGTGGCGGGCAACTAAAGCAAAAGAGATGGAAAAGGCGGCGGCTGTAGGTAACACAAAACAGCTCTACAGACTAATAAAAGAAACTGGGATTAATAAGTGTGACTATCTCGGAAAAAGACGACACTTATCTGCTCCCAGTGCAGACGTTTAAAACGATGGGCGGAACATTCCAAGGAGAATTTCAGTTGGCCTTCAGCTACTCTACAACCACCCACCATTCCCAGACAGCGTGAATGGGACATTGAAGTAGGTCCCCCGACTCTATCTGAAGTTCAAAAGGCTATAGTTAGTCTGAAACGAGGGAGAGCAAGTGGTCCAGATGGGTTAGTTACTGAGGTCCTTCAGTATGGTGGTCCAATTTTAGCGATTAGGTTGACTTATATTTTAGCTAAAATCTGGGAGTTGGACTTAATCCCATCTGACTGGTCACAATAACTGATTGTCCCAATATATATAAGAAGGGATCAAAATCATCCTGTAACAAACATAGAGGGATAAGTTTAACTAATATAGTATCTAAAATACTATCCTCAATAATTATCGGTAGCATAACAAAGACTCGTGAAATGCAAACACGAGAAAATTAGGCTGGCTTCAGACAAGGTCGTGGTTGAATCAACGACATTTCCACCACTCATCAGGTTCTAGAATACAGACATCATATCGGCGTCCGACAATGATAGTTTTTCTTGACTTAAAAGCAGCATTTGACTCTGTAAACCACGAGATTCTGTGGCAGTCTGTCATGAGAAGTGTTGGGGACGATAGATCCCAAAAACTCATAGTTTGTAATTTTATCTTGTGGAGCTTGTATGCAGATGTATGCGTGGGCATTTCCTACCATCCACGCACATAGTCAATTGACGAACTTATCGATTAAATGTTTAAAAGTTCCATGGCAATATCGATATATATATATATATATATATATATATATATATATATATATATATATATATATATATATACGTTTTAAATTGTGTTTGTTGTGATCGCTCGTTTTCTGGCTGTTGCAGAATATACTTCCCATTCTAAGCTTGGACTTCTCCCTCTAGATAGTGGGGCTGGGACGCATCAATAGCTAACTTACTGGTATTTGGTCACCGAGTCTTTTTCTCGTTCGCAGATTAAGTGAACTCGTGATAGTTTCAAACCTAGCAGGAAGGTGCACCTCAGAAGTACATAAACCTTATGAAGGCTCTTTACTCGAACACTACTAGTCGAGTCAGAGTTTATGGCGAACTGTCATCTGCTTTTTCAACCTCAAGCGATGTCCGTCAAGGCTATCCACTTTCTCAGTTTTTGTTTAACTTCATCATAAACCTACTGATGGAAATAACGCTCTCGCGGACTGGATTTTTGGGCATTGATCTTCTACCAGGAGGTTCACTTATCGACTTAGAATACGCAGATGATATAGTCCTGTTTAGTGAAGACTCTGATAAAATGCAGAGTTTTTTGGTAGTACTGAGCAACAATGCCAGAATGTTTAGGATGCGCTTCTCTCCCTCTAAATGCAAGTTGTTGCTTCAGGACTGGTCTGCGTCAACATCTGAACTAAGGATAGGGAGTGAAGTAGTCGAACGCGTTGACAACTTCACTTATATTGGAAGTCTGATCAGCCCTAATGGGTTGGTGTCTGACGAAATCTCAGCACGGATTCGAAAAGCTCGTTTGGCTTTTGCCAACTTACGTCACCTATGGGGAAGGCGAGATATCCGTCTATCAATTAAGGGACGAATTTACTGCGCGGCAGTTCGTTCCGTTCTACTATACGGCTGCGAAACGTGGCCATTAAAGGTAGAGGATACTCATAAGTTACTAGTATTTGACAACAGATGCCTTAGAAATATTGCTGGTATCTGCTGGGATCACCGGGTAAGTAATAGTGAGGTTAGACACAGGGTATTAGGGAATGATGGTAAATCAGTTGATGAGGTTGTAAATCTTAATCGACTGAGATGGTTGGGCCGTGTGTTGCGTCTGCCTAAACACCGATTATCATAATTTGGGTTCTCGTCTCACTCGGTTATGAAGAAGCAACAGAATGGAGTGTATAATTTCATATTGTATGTTCTTCTGACTAGATGATAACCTACCTCCTTGCCAAAGGTTTCTTTCGAAAATTTACTTTTTCTGAATGTAGGATAACTATAAAGGGATAACAAAGAATCTATGAATATTCTAGGTACATGTCCTAATGGTGAACAAAACGTAGACCATATTTTGACACTTCACAAACTATTTGTGTAAATTGTTGTCTTCTATATTGTGCAAAAGAAATATATTACATCGAAACACGATGTAAATCAGTCTTGTTAGAGAACGAACACAATGTATTAGGTTATGATAAATTAATTACTTGCGCCTGTTACCCCTCGTGGAGGGGCATAGACCATCCGCCAGCATTATCCATCGAACCCTGTCCAAGGTAATCCTTTTATGTTGATATTCCAATCTCCGATGAAGTGTGTTCTTTGATCTTCCTCTTATCCGTTTCCTTTTAGTAACCCGAGTTATCGCTTGCCTCGTGATGCAGTTTGATTTCCTCAATGTATGTCTTATCCACTTCCAACGTCTTTTCCTAGTTTCTGTACTTTTTCCGATGATGGTTGTAGTAGTTCTCCAAGTTTCAGCTCTGCATAAAAGAACTGCATTGAAGTTCGTATTGAAGATTCTCAATTTGATATTCATAGACAGTTGTTATGAGTTACATATGTTCTTCAACTGTAGGAATTCTGCCCTTAATTTGCCAATCCTGGCCTTTACATCTGCATCAGATCCTCTAGGTTCATCGATGATGCTGTCCAGGTACGTGAAAGTTTCCACCTCTTTCAGACTTTCTCCATCAAACGTGATTGGGTTGATATTCTCCGTGTTCTATTACAGGATTTTTCTTTTTACCCTGTGTATGTTGAGGCCTACTGATGTAGAGGCTGCTGCTACATTGTTTGTCTTGACCAGCTTTTGTTGATGTGTACGGGATAGAATGGTTAGGTCATCCGTGAAACCCGAATCGTCTAGTTACATGCAATGTGTCCATTGTATTCTGTGCTTCACAGATGTGGAGTTCTTCATAATCCAGTCAACTACCAGAAGAAAGAGAAAGGGGAAGAATAGACAGAGAATGCGACTAACAGCTGTCCTCCAAGCACGACTTCTCAATGTAGTCCGTTGTATGAAATACAGATGATGTTGACGATCATCTCAGATACTCCGTAGTGTCGAGGAAGGTTTCATAAGATCTTCCTTTCCACACTGTCAAAAGCCTTCTCATGATCAATGAAGTTGATGTTTAGGGACGAGTTCCACTTAACTGATTGTTCAACAATTATCCGTAGTGCCGCAATTCGGTCTGTGCACTACCAATCCGTACGGAATCCAGCCTGCTGATCTGGATGTTAGGCGTCTACTGCGTCCTTGGGTTCAGCAACACTGTTGAAACTTTCCCTGGTACTGACAGTGTGATGCTTCTGTAGTTTTCACATTTGCTCAGATCTCGTTTATTTGGAATCTTCATGAGGTGTCCTTTCCAGTCCATCAGCACTTGTTCATCCTCCCAAATCTTCTTTAATATAAGGTGAAGCGTGTTTGGGGTTAATCCGATGTCTGAATTCAGTGCTTCAACTGGTATATTGTCAGGTCCTGCTGCTCTCTCGTTCTTAATTTGTCTGCTGGCTATCCTGGTGGAGTAACATCTATATGAAGGTCTGTGTGTGCTGCTTCAATGTCCGGTGGGCTCATGGAACTGGTCTATTCAGGAGTTCCTCAAAGTGTTCTACCAATCTCTACTCTGTTTTTGAATCTCAGTGATTGTCTTACCTTTTTTATCCTTGATTGGTCTCTCTGGTTTACTATGTTTCCCTGTCAGTTTCTTCGTTGTGTCATATAGTTGTTTCATATTCCTTTTTGTTGCGACTTTGTCCGCTGTCGTTGTTAGGTCTTCCACGTATTTCTGCCTATCAGCTCTAATGCTCTTCTTCACTTGCTTGTTTGCTTCAGTGTATTTAGCTTGTGCCTTGACGTTTTCTATTCTTGTTCGGCTGTTGTTAAGTGCTATCATTTTTAGCGATACAAACATGATCGATCTGATTCTCTACAGTGTGATCCGGTGTGACCTGTGTAGTATTGTGTGTGCGTTTGTGTGAGAATATTGTTACCCCTTTAACCGTTTTATTGAATGCACATAAATTTGCAAATGTCTCTTGAAGAATCTCTAACACTAATTTGAAAAATATAGCTCCGAAATCATGATATGTTTGTAGTGTTTAAATTGTTTTTTCCTTGTAAACGCGTACAGATTGTTTAGCCTGCTTTTGTTTCTCTTATATAAATATTTATTTTAGTTAAGTTGTAACGTTATTAATGCAGTTTAAATGCCCATAAGGCTGTAAATCGATTTTCTTTATTTACTGGCACATTATCGATCTTTGGTTTGTAGGAATTTATCGAAGTTATTTCCGAAGATCAACATAATTTTGATTTAGTTATATCGGCAATAGTACGTCCCAAGGAGGATGAGTGTGGCGACATATTTGAAGTACGTTTGAGTTTCAAGTAAAATTTTATCTAATATAGCTAATTATTTCTTATTCACTGGTGAAAAAGCTTTACTAATTCTCCATTTGGCGTATTTTCCCCACTTTTATTTCTCAGGACCTTCTGTGTGAGTTTTGTTATGTTGACGTAGTTTTTCACTGCTTACTCAAAAACCAACATGTAGAATTTCTCTCTTAAATATTCTTTTTTAAAACGTGTTTTTCACATGTGCTTTCTGTGTAGCGATATATAACTAAAAATTCCCCTCTATTTATCTGTGAAAAATATAAAGTGTCTGTGTATGAAATAGGAATAAAGTATGTGCGCTTTAGTCTTTACCGAAGCGTCTAACTAAACAATAAGCTGTTAAGTTGAAATAATTGACTAATCTGCTATACGTCCTTAAAGGGATTGCTATTTATTCACAGGTACTGGATATTTAATTTGCAAGAATGAACAATTATTCCACCTCCTACGAAAAGTTAGACTGGGCCAATCAGTGAGGACGATTTTCAAAAAGAAAGAATTTTTCAGAATATAAGATGTAGATAAATAAAAAGTAGCTAGTTCTTAAAGTACATTTTTACTGTAGGTTATTTTTCATAGATTGTAATCTTAACTTAATGAATAATTTATATGCATTTCGTTTTTAGAAAATACCATATGAGATCGGTATAGTACGTCAGTTCCCTTTCAGTTCGTCTGTACAACGAATGTCTGTGATAACACGTACTTTAAATGAATCTCAATTTCATATATATACAAAGGGCGCTCCAGAGACAATTGAAGTTTTGTGTCGACGTGATACAAGTAAATAACCACTTTGATGTATGAACAAATATTGTGTTATTTTGTAACTTTTACAAATTGTATTTCCTTTATTTTGAAAATATTAACAAGGAAGTGCACATGACAAATCTAATTATATAGAAGTAAAGCCAACCGCATTCAAAAGCGCACACAAGTTATGTGTATATGTGGAAGTTTTCAGCTTATACAATTCCTATCATCAGATAACGCTTTAAACCGCCGATGTATGAAACGTGATTTTCTGAAATATCATGAGGCTGTGTATTTTGTTGCTGATAATCTGTAATGCAGTTTACAAGGGCACAATAATCGTCTAATTGAAATAGTTGTTTCCATCAGAAGTAGACTAAATGTTTAAGCCAAACTATATTCTTCTGATAGATTGAATGATCTCATTTTTTATTAAAACCGGAATATTTTAATGATTATAGCACAAAAGTTGGATTATAATTTGAGTCTTTCAATCAAATTCACTTCAGTATACCTATGTGTTTAAGTCATAAGTTTACTAGTGTAATTTTACAGTAGTTTCTAGGCTCGTGTGATTGCAAATTACTATCATAAACTCATTTAGAGTTTTGAGAATTATAGCGTATTTACAGCTTTGGTTATTATATGCACTAAAGTAAATCGCAATAAATCTCTTGAAAATGTATCTGCTTGTTGTAATATAATCAATACAGTTAATTTGACTTATTATTTGTTTTGCAGTAGCCCTGTACCTACACCTATTAGCAACAAATAATGATAATTTAGGGATTAAACATACAACATGTAACAGTAAATGTTTATTAAAAATCGTGTATTATAATTTGTTATAATGAGTATTGTTGAATAAACTTTTCTGTTGCAGTACCTACTAATTTTCATTCAAATTTGTTGGAATTCACTCGAGAAGGCTTTCGCGTTCTAGCATTGGCTTGGCGACCTATCAAGGCATCATATTTACGTATTATGCGCATATCGCGTGACCGAGTTGAACATAATCTTTTGTTTCTGGGACTACTGGTGATGGAAAATCGACTGAAACCTGAGTCTGGTCCGGTTATTAAAACTCTACGCCAAGCGAATATACGACCGGTTATGGTAACAGGTGATTTTATTAATGTTTGATCCCAAGCATCATTTTAAGTGAATACCTGATAAAATTTTGACTACGCATGAGTGGGACATCAACAGTCAACCTCACTATAGGAAACATAAACATTGGTGGAATAGATAGGGAGAGGTCGTACAGTCAATAGATAAATCAAAAAGAGATACAGTGCGATAACGAAAACAACCGAGGTCGATTACGTTCAGTAAGGAAGATGCACCTTGCTTTTGCGCGATACATAATTGAATACCATGAGGAAATCAGTACTAGATTTTGTTCTGAGCCATATATGATCGCCTTAGATCAGTGAATCTTATACTATGAAAGATACCACAGTGTCGAGTCACCTAGACTGGTGGCCAAATTGCAACATGGTCGATAGAATTCGATCTGCACTAATAATAAGGACTAGACACGCATGACATTAGTCACCACCCAGTGATCAATCAATTGTGATTACATCTCAGTCCTACAGGACGTCGGTCGCGGCCCGGATAGCTCAGTGGTAACGTCTATGACTGTGAAGCTGGGTGACACGGGATCGAATCCTCCAGGGAGCACCGGTTCCCTCAAAGATTACAGGTACACCTTGCTGACGAGTGCCAAGTAGCACGAAACCCGGGTCCAGGGTTTCCTGTCGACTACCTCCAACCACCATATAAGATACCACTTTATGAACTGTCTTTTCTTTTTATTCACTTAGTACAAAAGTCTGTGAATTATGGACGGTATTTAAGCTGCTGTGACGATATTCGTAAAATAGATTCAAGTTACTGAAGCAGTCAACTCGAGACGATAATACTAAATAAATTGTAATCATTAGGCCTGAATACATTGCCGAAAGTCATCATCACTTGTATGTATTTACCACCGGAAGCAAGCTGTCAATCGGAGATAATGATGATGCGATACAGAAAATCTCCAAATATCGTCAACTGAAAAATCTAGGCTGAACAAAAATAGAGTATAAACCATTTTCTGAGAAACCACTGTCAGGACGTTACTAAAGACGGTCCTCTTAAGACGGCATATAGTAAAACGTTTGCAGTGCTAAATGCGTCAAACTTAAGCAGGCGATTGTCTTAAAGGTTTTCAACTTATCTTTTTGGACAATTTATTTCCATCAACCTGGTTTAAGTAGTGAATGTTCCTCTTCATTTCTCCTTTAGTAGACATATCCAGACATCTGAATGTTCTGTGGCTCTTTTGGAATGGCTAGGCGTGTGAGGTTATTTCTGGAGGAATGTTAAACTCTTACTTGGTTTGTTTGTACTGCTCGACATGAGAACAAGTAGATTCGTGAAGAATCTTATTATTTAAAGGAGGCATTTGTGTCCAACTGATATTGGCTGGTGGATTATTGAAACAAAATAAACCTAAAGAATTATTTTGCCCTATTTTAGAATTAATCAGTATTCCAGATCATCCTGGTATACACGACATCATTTAGTCTCTAAATCTAATGGTAAATACTTGAAACTTAACTACTTCGATCCGCAATTCTTGTAGAAAGGGAGTTTAAGAGATATTGGTTAATAAGGCTGTTTCTTTTAATTTTCACATGCTCTGAATTACCTTCAGGCAAACTTACTTGTACCGTAAGTACGACAATAATAATCTAAAGAACAATCATGTCATAATTGCCTTCTTAATTCTTGACATTGTGAACGTCAGAGTATTTTCTTAGATCCTTCAGGGATAGAAGTGTTGATATAACAGTATGAATATATCTGAATTTATAAATAAATTGACATAAATTGTCTTATAGAACTGGACAGTAGTAGTGATGCAGATCAAAGATATTGATAAAGTTGTCATAAAGATAGAAGCTTCGTGAATAAATGTAAAAGGACATTGGCTCGTGTCTTGCTAATTTCCATCACCATAGCATTATAACTTAAGATTGAAACCTTGCCAACTAATACATTTATAATAGTCTAAACGAGGTTCATCATTATTATAAAGTGAAGACAAAGAGTTGATAAGTTAGTTTGTAGCGTCATCTGCATGTAATTTCGGATCACACATAACACTGTTGACTGCCTTTAAAAATTGACGAGGCAAATACTTTAAAATTATATTACAAATTGTTTCCTCTGAAATGTTTGCCACTTCAATCAGAAGTATAAACCGGTTTTGCAACCCAAATAATTGTAAGTGTAAAGAGTTGTGGTTTTCTGCCAGTCCGTGTTTAATCACTTCAATGAATTGATAAGTGCTTTTTGGCTTAAAATCGACAAAAGTACTCATGTAACTTTTATGACTATTCGTTATAATCCGAAGCGTTTATAGTTTGTCGATATAAACTTATTTTAATGATACATATTTAGCAATAATTTCTATTAGATCTATCAAATATTGTTTTCAGGTGATCATATGCTTACCTCTCTTTCTGTGGCACGAGACTGTGAAATGATTGATGAACTAGATCGAGTTGTTATCGTGACAGCTCGTCCACCACCTTGTCCTGGTAATGAATTTACTTCAGACGTGTTAAATGAAAATCAACCAATCCCTGTACCAAATACTGGATTTTCCACTGAAAAAAATCCAAACAACATTCAGGATGCCACTAATTCAGGAAATAATCAAAATTTCTCAGATGATCTTATTAATTCCCTTGTTCAGTTTCACTATGCAGAAGACTTACACAGACCGGTTACTGAAGTCGCGACAACTAACATTCAACTGAAGCGAAATCTAACTAAAACTGACAACAGAGAGACATCGAAACAGTCATTTTCCAAGCGATTGAAAACAAGATTTAATATTGGTCGATTACAAAGTCCCTCAAAAGCTTTTACTGGGTACGTAAATGTTTTAAATTTGTTTTGACCATTCAAACTTGTGGATGTCAGTAGTGTTGAGTTGAGTGAATCATCATTGGTACTATTAGTGCTCTAAATATAGTTATTCTGCATTTATAGTCTTGCATCCCTGTTAAATAAAGACTTAATCTGCCAAATGTTTTTGGGGAAACATTATTATTCCTATTTAACTAATCAAACTAGATGTAAAATAAGTAATTCACTAAAAAATATCGTTCGTTACTGTAATATGTTGTGGAACTAGATTTCCATTTTATTTATTATCCATACTATGTTGACGTTCATATTTTGTATGTGGAGTACTGATATATGAAGTTTCATCTTAGCAGTGCCCATCCACTACTCCTCAGGAATCTCGTAATACGATGAAACAGCTATTCAGTCCTTTCTATTTTTGAATGATTGTTTAACCGAAGTCAGTGTCTAATGTGAAACTTCAAATCCAACAGTCATTACAACACCTTGTTTTAAAAAATATTGGTAACTGTGCTTTAAAGTTTTGTTGTGAAGTACTGGAAGTTTTTGACAATGTTATGACATGTGTTTTTGTTTGAAATAAGTTTACTTCAACTTATGTTTGACTTTCAAGAAATTTGAAATATCCCACTATTAATGCTACAACAAAATGTATGTATTAAAGGAATGATTAACTGACAAGTTATTTAAGCCTAGCATCAGTTACCCTTCTAGCAACACGTATTAGGTAGTAAAGGATTGAGATTCAGTTGTTTCTGATTGTTTGAATATCATTTAGACTGATACTTGACGAATAGAAATAATTAGTGAAACCGAATAGAATTTTGGATTTTGAAAAACAAGGCTAAATTATGACAGGGTACAAATGAAAGTGTGAACGAACAACGTGCTTCTTTTAGATACAAGGTAGATTTGAGACGTGAATCACCAATAATTTTCTTGAGATGACAGTTCACTAGAATTTTTCTTAATGACTACACAGAAAACATTTTTGTTCTAATCGAAAAACTGTATTATCATATTTTTATACTTGTAATGTTACTGACAGTCTTCCAGGAACTATTTGTTAATGAGCCAGAATAAGTTTAGTTCACTTCATTTCATTAACATGATTTTAAACAAAATTAGTACTTTGTAGGAAAATCTATGGTCAAATGCGATTCATAAATTTGGCCATTCTTTTGATATTTATACTTTTCATAAACTGAACAACAGGCTTTGAACACGATAACGTTTTTTCAACAAGACCTTGTCCGATTTTGACAAAATCAAATAGACAATTGTATGATTTCAAACAATTTTGTTTATATGAATCTTAATTATCTCTAGTTCAGAATATATTATGTAAATGAGACGAGTGAAATTAACAATTAGTAACTCAATTTTAATTGTTCAGTTTGTCCACATTTCGTCACTATTCATCTTGACAAAAATATTTGAATTGGCGCTTCACAATGTAAATATAAATATGATTATGTCAGCCATTTTCTAGATAATTTTAAAATCTATATATTTAAACTGAATCATCACATAATTACGTCTTGACAACCGTATTTTATTATTAAACATTTCACTGAACCTTGATAACTTCTGTTTTAAACAGTTAGACAATATTCAGGAATACTGCAAACACTAAAGGTATTGATGATCGAATGCAATTTAAAATCGAATGTTTGTACGAATAGGAAAGTTTTAACAAGAACCCGAAAGTACTCGACTGTTAAATAACTTTGTGTTGATGAGATATGTTAAAGAAATAATGTTAAAGGTGGGGGAGGGTTAGGTTTCAAAACATGAATTACTAACATTTAGAATGAACAAAATAATGAGAAACAATCAACAACCCACTATAATGAGTTATTATTAAGTGTTGAGCTGTTCATAATCTGCAGAATGAAAAGTGGTAAACTTGCTAGCATTGTTGTCGTCAAACTGCAATCATGTTACCAAAGTCTCTAAATGCGTAAAGATTTTGGTTGTGATTACTACGCTAAATCATACACTTCTGACAAGGATTTGATGAGCTAATTTTCTGATGACAAACTTTAGTTTGTTCATCATGTGGGTTTTGTATCCAACTACCAGTTTAAACATCACTTTGTGCATCGCTAAACATTACTGGTACATCTCATTCTTATGTATATAGCCTTCAATGTAACGTTGTATTGGCTGTAACCTCGGAGAAGTAATGTGAAATGTAGTGAATTAGGTTGTTGTATAATTCTGTATAAATGGATGGTAAGTCATCTTGCTGTAGCTGCATATAGTATAATGGAATTTTTATGTGTTATAACATGTTACACATCTAATTTTCGTCCCTAGAACCCTATCTACAACATTGCAGTCAATAATTTCTATTTATAAATGCCGTTTGGATCATTTTAAGCAAAGATGGATCGTAGCTTGCAGTGGAATCCAGGAAGCGCGTTTCGTTCTATTAGGGACTCGTCAGCTGGATGTACCTGCATCCCAGAGTTGATGTTCAATCTGGGACTCGGGTCCAGTACCATTCGCTTCAAACGCCATCGCGTTATCCACTTAGCTACTGAGTCCTGATAGCCACCTGCTTGTGGCTATATCGAGGCAATCCTCACAGGATGCACATATGCCAACATGAGACTGACTAATTGCAGTCCTAAATAACAATGGAAAGATACAAGTAAAACAACACCAAATGCCATTTGGATCAGTTTTCATTAAAATGAACAAATCCGTATTTTACACGACTGAAATCAGATTAAATACAATCAGTTTACAAGTTTTCTCAATCAATCGACGTACAAAGTTCATGAAACGAAATATTTAGCGTCACTGTAGTTGCTAAACTTAACCTGACTTTTATAATGTACGTATAAGTTACCTTCTTCAACGTCTGATCTTTGAAGCTAGACTTCTATGTAAACCATTCATCACAGCTTTTGAGTTGTAATCATCAAAGGAATTTTTAAAAATGTTTTCAATGAAATTTTTCTTGTTCTTGCAAAACTATCACATCTAACTGTCAGTCCACCAGCTCCAAATGTATTCCATTTAAATTGAATTTTTTCGAATTCATGATAGTATAATGATTTCGTCTATTATGGTTGCGATTCTGCACAAGATGAATAACCCACTCACTGCAGCAACGTGATGATTTGCACTATTCAATTACAGCTGTCTTTTAATTTCTTTGCCGTTTTTTTTAAAACTTCACATTCTCAGATGGTTGTCAGAAATGTTCCTGGTTCACTGGTTTTTAAACGTCAGTATACGTAATAGAAATCAATTGCATATTGAAGTACTCATATTCATGGTTTTTCGTTGTTAAGCAGATCTTGGTAACGTAGTATTTAGATGATGAAAAACTGAAATTCACATTATCACAGAAGTTTATTTAGTACTAGCTTAACGCTGTAGATTTTTTTGCCTATCTATATTCTTTTATTTTGTAATTAAGCCTGTATTTTTCATGGAATTTCCGGGTCGTAACAATATTTTCTGTTTTCATATAACTACAATGGTAAATTTTAAATGTTTTCTTTATGTTGTATTTCATTCATAGTTTATCTGCGCTAGGCAATAGTGCAATATACCACGCCGATTCTGAAAAAGTAGACAATCATACCGATTATGAAAAATGCTTGTTTGATAAATTAGACAAACATTTAGATAAGTCAGATAAGTACAAGGATTCCGCTGAAAACCGTTATGCACTCTCCATTCGAATGATCGATAGACCTGATTTCCATCTGGCAATTTCAGGGAAAACATGGTCTGTCATTCAGGAGCACTATCCTTGGTTAATACCTAAAGTAAGCTCTCTTTGATAACTAATCATTGTTATGTATCACTGTCTTTTATGCTCCAACTGTTTAGCGTCTGGTTTTGACAGTTCGAAAACATTTTTGTTAGTAAAAAATACTACTCACTTAAGGAGCTGTAATCTAATAGTTCCAGTAACCGAAGTATGACCATTCAATTGTAAGTTTAGCATTGATTCTCATTCTAAGTGATATTCCAAATAAATGACGAAACAAATGGCTCATTGAATTGACCATTGTGATAATTTAAATTCATGTAGTCTTAATAGCATTCTTTCAATCACCAAAATTGAAGCTTAGGTCATTAAATTAAATAGAGAATATTTGTCTAAATTTATCAACTGTCATTCAAATTAAAATTGTTTTAAATAAATTAATATATTTGTGATATCTCACTGAGTAAAAAAATTAAATTTTCTGACCTTTTGTGAATCAGTGTAAGTCGCTTCTTCAAAGAATAAACAACCAAATTAAAATTAATCCAATTCTATGTTTATTTCTCCGAATGATATTCTAAAGTACCAGTATAATTGTTTGATTTTAGCTGGTTGTGAAAGGTACAGTGTTTGCTCGCTTCTCTCCTGAACAAAAAGCACAAGTGATTGAAGCTCTCCAGTCAGTTGGTTACTTTGTTTCTATGTGTGGAGATGGTGCAAATGATTGTGGAGCTTTAAAAGTAGCTCATGCTGGGATTTCCTTAAGTGAAGCAGAAGCAAGTATTGCTAGTCCTTTTACATCAAAGAAACAAAATATAAGCTGTGTACCCATGCTTATAAGAGAGGGTCGTTGTGCTCTTGTAACAAGCTTTGGAACGTTTAAATTTATGGCTGGTTACTCCCTTATTCAATCATTTTCCACAATTATACTTTTTGCGGTAAGTTTAGGTACAATTAAAATAATATGTTTCTCCCCCTACTTTGTTTAGCTTCATTTTTGTTTTGCGTATATAATCAAATAGATAAATTCATTTGTACAACTATAGTGGAGCAACGCTGAATTTCCGTTTCTTATCTTTTACAAATAATATGTTTCATAGTTGGTTGATTTTTATCCTTTTTTAACAGTTCAGAAATGGAATATTTGAAACAGTACTTAAAATTTTTAAATGCTAAGTTTTTACCTTCAATTACATCAACATCTTAATCTAGTGTTATATCGTACTTATTTGTGCAGAGAATTGTTAAAGCATCTTATTTTCAGCTCAATGAGGATATACTTAAGTTTAGAAAGTTCTTAGATATGATAAAATATGCTGAAGTACAGCTTTGACTTCCGTTTTTCTCTGATTATGTTCCGTTTTTCTTTCAGATCGGAAGCAATTTGTCCGAATGGGAATTCCTGTACTGTGATTTTGTCATAATAACGACGTTAAGCTTAACATGTGAGTTGTTATTCATTAGACTTAGTGTACCGTATAAGTTCCTTTTCATTTTACCTGTCTTCTTGAAACATTCTCAGTGGTAATTATGTTAAATTCTCTTTGTCTCATGATTCGAGTTCAAATTTGAACAGTTAAAATGGGATACTTGATATTAAAAAGTTTCTAAAATGGTTGATGTGACTGCACTCATCAATTATGTCAATTCGAAAAAATCCTAGAATACAAAACATCCTTACATCTAACTTAACATAGTAAAACATCAAAAAAATTTTATGTTCAAAATATTCAAGATAGTTTGTCCTCAGAGGAAAATCAAGATATTTCATTTCTGTTCTCGATATCGTTGGCCATTTTCGGAAATTATAATGTTTGTACTTCTATTTTATGTTATCCTGTGAACCCTTTCAATTTACTTACTCGTGTTATGGGAAACACCCTAAAACGCCGTTAAACATGTAAATAAACACTCAGCTGATGTGAAACATTAAAGCGGTATTGTGAAGTGAAGTAAACATACCAATCTCATCAAAATTTCTGAGGTCGATTTAATTCCAGAAGTACAATTGATGAGTTCTTTAATCATTGTTATGGACTTTTTTAGCTTAAAGATTTGTTTTATTCTCGAATAATGGAGTTTGTTTCAGATCCAATCAGCACATACATTTCGTTTTTTTCAAATTAAAAGTATGTTTTTAATAAATATTTATAAAAATTAAGCGATTTGGAGCGAAATACAAAGTTTACATCAAGAATATTTGAAAGGTATCGTCATTTTAATCTTTCAGAATAGCCTTATATTATGTTGTTAGTAATATCAATCGATTCCTAACCAAACTTTTATATTCACACTATTCTTTCTTTTAGTTTGCAATATTTGTTTGTAAATATGCGCATACACTTTATGTTATGGTATGAGGAACCTAACTTTTAAGCTGATGTAAGATCATTTCATGAATTTTATTGCTGTTCCAACTTATTAGTTTGTAAATAATCAGGACGTCATCGAGAATGACTTCAGTGTAAAATAATGTAAAAATGTTACAGCATACACTGAACACTAATATCACATATGTCGAAAGTAAAATTTGGGAACTTTTTAGAAGAACATCTACATTCAATATAGCTGTTAGACAGTACATCCATTTTAAAAAAGTTCGGATATTGTCCCAACGTAATTTGTAATAATGAGGCTTATCATTCATTTAAATTACCGTTTCAATCCTCTCCATAATTAATCAATGACCTAGACGGTGTTAAATTTCTTCCAGATGTTAATGGCTTTATCATAGTTTCATTGACTTTGCATAAAACCTTTATTAAACGTTTCAGGCACTAGACCTTTGTGCTTTAGTTGTTCAATCTGATTTGGTTTTAACAATATTAGTTTTAGTGATGTTTACAAAAAATTACATAACAGTTTGTTTTCTCAATGTTTTCTAATTCCTGGTTGGATAACAAAAGCAAAGCTTTTTGGATGAACCCCTCAATCATTTTGTCAAATAAATATATCTGATTGCGATAATTTAATTCTTTTCAATTTCGGATGAGTTTTAAACTGACCATGTTTGTTGTGTTGAGTGAAGTACAAAATATGTGATCACAAACGAATATATTGATGGAGTGATTTTTTGTACAGTTCAATCAATAATTGACAATAAATCAACCGATGTTCTACAACCACTTATTTATTCTTCACATGCGTCTCAAGTTGTCGTTAGCAAACCATTTATTGTTCCAGTATTCAATCATACTTCATTTTGACTGCAATTGGTAATTTTAAATACAAAATTTCCACTTTTACGTTCTAAGGAATTCTTACTGCACTAAGTTTGGAAAACATTCTTTCACACTCAGACTTTGATGTTGTTCGTCCTAAAGTAAAAGGTCCTGACATCAAAAAGATTGGTAATAACCAATGTATTCGCTATCAATATAATCGTTTTCTATATATACATATATTCTGTATATATAACATCAAATAACGAACATTTTGTGTTTCCTTATATAAGTAATTTCTTATTGCCGATGGTGATTTTAGTAGATGATTTGTATAATATCTCTTAGGCAAAATTCCGGCTCAAAATCTAGTAGCAATCACGATTCTAAACAATAAGTAGTAGTTAATTGCTCTTTCATAGACTGACTGAGAAGAGTTCCTAGAGTGACTACAAAATTTCGTTTTATTTTCTGACTAGTTCAGCTTTTTAAAGAAACCGGCTTATTTAATTTACTAACCTACATATTCACTGCAGCCGGTTACCCCTCCTGGAGTATAGAGTGCCAACCACAGGTATCCGAATAATTTTTTTCTTGTTTGCAGTTGTTAATTGTCATTTATTGTTTTGATGTCTACCTCCAACTACTAACACCATGGATTCTTTGGTCTGTCACATTTCTTTTAGCCTTGAGGATTCCAGAATAGGTCTTACCTTGTGATTCAGTTTGGTGATTTTCGTAAACTATTCCCCATTCATCTCCGATATCTAATTCGCTCCTTAACTAGTAGACGGATTGTTTTCTTCCAGAGTAGAATATTTCTGATCGAATCTTTCCAATAAATCTGGAGCATCCTGTGTAAATAGCTGATATGAACACTTATAACTTTTCAGTGATAATGGTGATAGTCCCCTACTTTTTGACGTTATCGTTAAGAATTCTGACTTTTGTGTTGGCTGGCAGTACTTTAGAGTTGAAGATATTCTTCAGTGGCTTGGATGTTGCGCTTACTTTAGGTAAAGACTTCTGCCTCTTCCAGAGCTTCACCATCAGTTTTGATTTGGTTAGTGCTTTCTGTTTTATACTTCAGGATATTTCCTTTCCTTCGTAAATGTTAAAACTTGTTTATTCAAATAGTACTACTACATTGGTTGACTTCGTCCGAATTTGTTAGTGTGTATGAAATAGCAGGGCTAATGCATCTGCAAAGTTCAAATCATCCAAGATATTCTCAGTATTTCAGGTCCTCACATTCCGATTGACAACTTAGAGGAAGAATAAAGGCAGTCTTGTCTGACACCTGACACCCTTGGAACGCACCCGTAGTGTATCCTTCATGAACGACTTTGAAATTCAGTCCGTCTTAGAGGTCCCGCATGTCAGTGACGAATTAATAATCATCCTTATGGTTGATTCATTGATTAGAAAGAATTTCAGTTATGTGGTTTGCACCATGAAAGCTTAATTGCACACAGAAAATATGTTTTTCTCAAGAAAAATCTTTTATTCTTTCATTATTAAATAATCTACATATTGACTACTTTAATTTTTTCCATTTTACGTTAATGATCTTCACTAGTTGGATATACACATGCTTATCCACATCTTTCTGCTGAACCACCTACAATGAGACTTTTGAGCATGGTAACAATGATTTCATTATTTGGTCAAGTGATAATTGGTTTTATTATTCAGGCAACTGCATTCACATTGATTCGCTTTCAATCTTGGTATGCAATTTTGTTGAATTTTGTTTCTGACTGCACGTTGTTAGCGAATTTCTTTCGTCATTGTTCGTTTGTTAGTTGCTTGCGTTTTCATATTTTTACACAAGTTGTAGGAGAAAATATAAATGCCAGTTAATTGTTAATGTATGTAATACAAGTCCAATACCTTGCGCATGAGTATTCGTATTATGAGAATCATTTTGAACATTCATTATCCCAGCTATATTGAAGAACTAAATAAAAATTCAAGTTGCCTTTTACACATTTTGATGTATTTGCAAAGAGATATTGAATCAATGTAAGATGGTTGTATGCAGTAGACAAGTTACTTCAGATCTAGGTTTTGTATCGCCTGGCACTTGTTAGTGAAATTCATAAATCATGAAAAGCACTCTTTTTGTGAACATGATTGCATGACTAGGCAACAAGATTCAAGTTAATTGGGAACTTGGAAATTAGCTTACAAACTGAAGAGAAGCAGATTTTAACGTTTGATTGAAGTTGTTTTATGCATACATTTTACCTTTATGTGATCTGCTTTTTACTAAAATGTTTGGTGTGATGTGTAAACCAAGTAAGAAAAATGTATTTGAATGTAGTGAACTATCGGTGGATTTTCTTCACAGACGTAAACCTTCGATCATTTACTCTTAAGTTTTTGTTGGATCTGTTTTTAACATTGAAGAAGTTTACTATTCCTTGATCATACTTTTAATAGGTATATGCCGTTATATTCGTACTCTAATAAAGCTGAGTATAAAAACTACGAAAATGCGGCTGTATTTATAGTCTCCACTTATCAATATATAATTTTGGCCATTGCATTTTCGAAAGGAGCACCATATCGTAAATCAATTTTAACTAATTGTAAGTTGTTGTTTGTGTTTGCATTAGTATTTATTATTGACGTAAATCATTAGGTATTAAAAACTCGCGAATTTACTGGATGTACCAACGTGGTAGTGAGATTTCAACTTATAATCTAACATACATTCATCCCTTTGAGATGATAATGTTAACACTTGTTTGTTGTTCTTTATCCAACGGAACTAACTAGTATATAATTTTCTGATTTTATCTGAGATTCGTTTTTTTATCTCTAGGTTATTATGCAGAGATGTTGCTACACTACTTGGGTCAGGTAGAAATTACTTCATCAAACGAGTTGGGAAAATTCATATCATTTAAATTGATGGATTCTCAGTCCTTTTCCATCACACAACGTTCTTTTCAATTATATTCATAGGAACTTAGTAGTTCATTGGTTATTATAACATTTACCAAGTAGTTAATTGTATGAAATATTCATTTCATCACTATGTCAATAGTTTTAAAACACTATTCGATTAATATAAACTGGCTGCTTCTTAATAATCAACGTGTTATTTAGATTTCCAATTATGGTTATATGATCCGTGTTTTACTATAGTATCTACTTCTGAATGATTTCGCAACTTACTTCACACACATATTTTCTTGTTTGATCTCTAAACAGTTATAAAGATTTATAATACACTAATCTTTTGTTACTCTTGTGTTTTTTCCAACAGATGCATTTGTGCTGAATATTTTGGTGTGTTTTGTGTTAAGTCTTTACTTGACAACTTATCCAGTTAGTTGGATACTTGAACGTTTACAAGTAAGTTTACGGAAGACTAGCGTTTCACTTGAAGTAGTATACAAATTACTTGGTTTCAATACCGGTTAGAATTTTTATTTGGATCAGTCATAATCAGCATAAAGCCTGGGACAATAAAACTTAACGAATATTGACACAGAATGCAGATTCTCACACTCGCTCACCTGATAGCCAGAATAAAACACAACGCAGCAAACAGATAACGTTGAATCAATCAATATATATTTGCTTCCTGACCACACATCAACACTACTAAGAAATTACAATATAATCTGTGATTGGTTCTTAATCAAGTAACAGTAGTTTAAAAAACGCACAACACATAACAATGGTTTAAGCGTCACGTCAAACCTTGCAATTAAGTGAATACCAAAATACAACAGTTTATGTATTTAATAATCATGCGACAAAAATGTAAACAGTAACTTCAGACAGGATCGTTCCGAAAGTTCAACTTTTCTTGATGTTTATTCCGTTATAACTATAGTGTAGTATCAATGGTAATGAATAGAACTAAATATCAAGAATTTAGTTCGAATAGACTGAGTGAGAATGTATATTTGAAGGAATACTGAGATTCAGAACCTATCGACTTTGAATTGATTGGATCTTTTCCAGTGTAACTGACTCGGAAATATTTTATCCAAAGTTTCTGAACGTTACTGCGAAAACTGCAAACAATGCTCATATCGACAGTCAATAATTTCTTTTTCCAACACCTTATCTAGGTTTCGCAGCCTCTAACTTTCTTCTGGTTTACTTCTACTGCAGATAACATTGGACGTCGAGGTAGTTGATAGCTGTTCATACGTAATATATCCCAGCCACCTCATTCGATGAAGATCCACAATTTTATCGACCTATTGGTATCTTTGTCTTATACTCTATGTCTAACCTTGTTATTGCTCACCCGATCGTCCCATTAAAATGCGACACTGAAACGAAGACAGTCAAAATCAAAAGTCTGTAGCTTATGTATGTCTTGTACTTTTATAGGCTATGTATCACAGCCATAGAGTAATTCAGAAAAGACTGTCACTCAGTAAACTCGCCTTATGGTTAGCAGAAGTAAAGAAGCACAATTAAATTCGTTGTTTTTCTTTTCCATACCGTGATGATTTATGTACATTTAACCGATACATTGATTATTAGTTCTCAAACTAGTTTAATTTTATTAAGTTTGCTGTTCATAGGTTGCAAATTAAAACCGAGTGTTTATATAGGTTAATATTTTAGAAATCATGTTAGTCAATCCGCTTCCTCTAAATTTTGCATAAAAGGATTTCAGTCCCTTTTTATCTAAGATCAAAACCGGTTACAAGGGATTACATCCAGCTCCAAGTCTCTGGCTAGTACTTAAGTACTATGTACTTAAAACTTCTGAAGTTGACTTATCAGTTTCTTCAGGTCTCTGCTACTCCAAGTTAGGAATGGTTTTTTTAAATCCCACTAAGATCTGGGGGACTTCTGTTAAATTCTCATTTACGTTGTTTACGAAAAGTGTGTAACTGAAGGATAGCTGAAGGCCATTTGAACTGTTCCTAACAATCTTTAACTAATCCTTCCGATCTTCTCAGTTTTGTCTTTTTCGAAATGTTATAGCAAATAACTAGCTTTTTGTACCAATTCTCTTGTTGATTCGGGTCAGCTGTCTACATATTCTCAGCTTCTCTGCTTTTCTCTTCTATTTTTTACTTTGTCCACCATTGCTCATAATCACAAACAATATTCCTCTTAATGACCTAGAAGTATGTTCACAGATCCCACAAGACAAAGTGATGAAGCAGATCTTACTTTTCATGGATAGATCTTGATGTGTATGCTCCATACATTTCAGACATTACTGACAGTGACGGAAATCCGTAGTGTTAGGCAGGGGCATAAGCTTATGAATCATCACTTGCGCAATACCATCTCCTTTGAATTTTAATACTGTCTCTTAGTCACTAACGAGCACCATTTTTAAATAAGGTTTTGTTTTTTTATAGGTAAATTTCATATTGTTGTAATTTATGAATAAATGATTATTCTCTCATACAAATGTTGATATTTATGCACAACTGGTATTCACTCACCAATAAAATTCATCTTTTATTGTAAATGGAAGAATACTTTGTGCTCAAAATATGCTAAGTTCTACTGTTCATGTTTATTTTCAGTAAAGAATATCACTCTGAAATCTCAAACATTGTTTGAGTGAGCGTTGCCTTTAAGTCACCACTAAATTGTATTTAGTAGTAAAAAATAAAACACTCTTCTCATCTTGCTAAACTGTTATGTTTTAATTGTTGATATATTTGATTGACAACCACTGTTCCAGCTGGTATTAGTACTCGACAATCATAGCTCTGAGCACTCGATCATTAATCTCTAAGATAATGAGTTACAGTAATTACGTCATGTCCAGCATACATCATTAGTCATTCTGTTTCTTAATACCATACTATTCAGCATGTGTTAACACATACGTCGTATGACTAAGATTTCCTATGTTGTATACATTTTTAATCCTTTCAAGTAATTCTTTCTAACTAAAAAAGGGAATGGTTATACCAGTCTCCATTTTAAAATATCTTGTTTAGTTCTTGAGAACTTTTGTTATCTACGGTTATGCTTCCTTATTGAAATGTTGGTTAAATATTACCAATTCGTAAAGGTGATTACCGTTAATGGTATACTTTGTGAATTCTCAAATCATGGCTAAACCTGGTACCTTCTATATTTTCGTTTTGCCAACAATCTTACAATTCATTATTAACAATGAAAGTAGAATTTCGTAATAATTAATTCATAGAGAATGTGAACTAGCACAATCATCACTAGTTGATGTAATGTGTTTTTGACAAAATTACCTCATTTAAATTACTTAAACACCTTAGTTTAAAGGACTTTAATGTTTGTTCTTTTTGTTTTAAATATATATTAGGACGTTTATGTTACTTATAAAATGATTTACTACATTTCTTCAAAATAAAAACTGTCATTGTGGTTACTTTGAATTGACATAATGAGTGAAAGTTGCATTAACTTATTTATTTATTCACTAGATAGCGAACAAAATGTTGGTGAATTCTGTTCTTGAGAATTTTTATCTTGAACCAGTGAATATTTTAATTTTCATGAAAAATCCCCTTTTTACGTAGCTTCATCTGTTTTTCAGAAGAAAGTATTTCTGGGCCGATAAAACTCACCCAATACCTTTGTTCGCGTTCAAAAGTAGTAATCTTAACTGCTTAGAGTAACCCTTTGAAATGATTCTAAAGGAGTTAGACATGTAATTTTGTTTTACTAACAAAAAGTTTGAATGTTACATAAAGTTCCACTTTGTAACGTGCATAAGCCTTTGTCAATTTAATTATATATGCATATGTCTTGATGGGTGAATATCTGAAACGTAATAGATAGGCATTCTGATTGTTTATCACGCTGTACAAAAACTTTCTTGTTCGCGTGACTTAAAGCTCAAACGTCACTGTAACAACATGATAGTAAGACGTCATCATTAATACGTTATTTTTCATTCGATTTTCGACTGAACAGGCTCTTTCCAAACCATGTGTAATAAACCGTTTTGATCCACTAGTGTATTTCTGATATAATAGAATGCTGTTCAAGTGTTATCACGGTTGTATAAGTATTTTTTATTTAAATCAATGTTAATGAAATATCTTTTCTAGTGAGTCTTGTTAACAAATCAGTTTTGAAGAGTTTAGTTTTTCCTCTTTTCATCCAATTCAGAATTTGTTGTATGGCAATTGATATTATGCCGATAGCCACATAGTTAATGGTATTTCTGTAATTATTCTATTCTCTGAAATGATTTATTCTTTGCAAAGTTAGTTGAGAACTATTAAACAAAAAGACTAAGATAATCAGTCACTATATTTTTAGTTACAATAAAAATCGTTTGTAAAATATGAGGATATTTTCAGAGTCGCGTATATTGAAATTGTTTTTATCAATTATAGTTAGTCCGAATTCCTTCTATTTGGTTCATACTCATTTTACATTCCATGGTTTTGGCGAATTTTATGGCTAGTTATATTGTTGAATCAATTGTTGATGGAGTCTCTTTTCGACGTCGTATACGTCGCATTCGTCGAGCACTATTTCCTAGGTTAGTCACACCATACATTTTTATGATGGTAACTTTGTACGACTTTAATTCATGTGATAAATGCATCAAGAAGAAGTAAAGGTATTTCATAATCATTAATTTGTTTTTACTTTTTAAAAGATGTTTAGTGTGAAATCAAAAAGTATGAACAGTATTTGTATGATGTACATGAGTTATCATTTCGGAATTTATGGCTGTCTTCAATGAAGTGTGTGATTTTCTCTGAAAAACCAATAAAAAGCGAAATAGGATAATTTTGATTTTACTAATCTGAGAATCTTCTCATAGTTCCTGTTGGTTCTATTGTTGCCGACGGGTTACTAAGGTGGAACACTTTTGTTCATCGTGATTAACAGGAGAAAATTTTTATTTGGAATCGAAAATGCTTCAAAGTATATTGTACAGATTTATCGCTCATACGATCAACTCTGTAAAAACTGACTGACAGATCAGAATCTAGTTTATAAATTCAGCATTTTTGCGAAAAAATTAATGTACTGCGAAAGGCGTAGATGATTTGCTTTAACAGTTAATTTGAACGAATTGAATCAAAGAACTCTCAAACTACTGAAGTCAAATTAAATAAAATGCTACTATAAATGCCAATTTTTCGGTTTCAAATGAATGTAAAATGTTTTGAATCTATGAATCAGTTGTCATTTTGTCAATAAGACTTCAACATTTCTATCCCTCATTTGATTTCGGTTAAAAAGTCGCTTAGATGTATTTAAATACTCTTCTTTAAAGTGTTTTATACTTCATTTTAAACAAGTAATAAATCTCTAAAACCAATTAATTTGTATATAATGTGACATTGACCGGATTCAATTTTATATTTAGAGACAGGTTAACTGTCTTTTTCAATGACTGAAAACAACTAATAGACTCCTTGCAAAGTTTTTATTTCGGAAACACTGAAGCCACGTGATCTGAGGAAAATGCATCTTCCATCGACCCGTCAGAAATATGAATAACTCAGACTATTTTACAGCAGAGAATTGACTGGTGTAAATTCTCAAGGCATTAAACAGAGAAATTTTTAGGTACAGTGTAAAGGATTCCCTGGGATTCGTCGATCATCTAAAAAATTTGTTGATCAAAAAATCTTCATGATATCATTAGATTTATTGTCTGTATTCATTGACTTCCTTCTTCTGAAAACTGCGACTTGCGCTTGCAGTTAGTCTATATATATAATAATGCACAGCGATGATGAAATACTAATTGGAAAGTTATTTTTTCTCTCTATTTTCATTTATTTTTAAAAACGTGTAAAGCTTTAAATACTTTCTATAATTAAAGAGGAAGAATGTATTTGTGAAATCTCAGCGAAAGTATTTGGAGTAAATCCAACAACCAAATTATCGATAATTTTGTTGTTTGATTATATTTTCCTTGAAAATGTTTGGACCAGATTGCCAGGCGAAACGTTGGATTTACTTCAAATTCTTTCGCTGAGATTTTACAAATACATTCTTTCTCTTTAATGTCTCACTTTAACTCGGAGTCCAAATATTGTGAAACTATTCGTTCAAATTTAGACGAAAGTTCTTATTTACTTTCTATAATGTTCACTTATCGTGTAAAGTGTTTTTAAAATGTCCAAATAATTAACTCGGTATTGCTTTTGTGATCTAATCAAGACGTGTGGAACGTAAAGCTTATGAGCGAATTCGAGAAGAAATTGACAGGTCAGCTGGCGTTTGGCCTCCCCTATTAAGATCTGCCAGTCTACAAGCATTACCACGGGATCTGTTCACCGATGAAAATTTAGACGTGACTACTCGTCCTAGAAGTAGACGACTCTCTTCTGCAGTATCGAATGACACGGATGTAGATGTTGCTTCTGTTCAAAGTGAAATAACTGACAGACGACAGCTTCCCTTTAGCAGTACAGACGGTGATATCGGTCTGCATAAAGTTGTCAGTAAACACTTCTCTAATCAAATGAGTGTAAATGAAAATCCAAATCAAACTTTTACTCTTGGTGGTTCTTTAAAGAAGCGCAATCTTTCAGTGGTAAGGAATTTCTTTGGTTATTACTTCATAACTATTGTGATATTTACTATACATGGTATGCAACATGATATAGATAATATTATTTGGGTAGGTTATTTACCATAGTGAGAAAATAATTAACTTATCAGAAAGGGTTTACTGGATTTTCTAAGGAAAAGCGCATAGTTTAACTACTGGACTTAATTCCCATATAATTGCTTTGGGACAATTTATCAATGCTGATCGGTAGGACAACCAACTAACTTGATAAATTACGTTAAGACTGCATTGTTCATTTCTCTAAAACAAAAATGTACTTGTTGAAAAAAGTTGTATTGATTAGTTTAAAGAACGTTTTGTCTTAACCTGATAACGAACATATTTTGTATATAAATAGAAACTTTTGAAAATAAAGTGAATAAGTATTTAACACTTGTTGCTATACCTGCATCAAAGTGTTTGTTCAGGATGTAGGTCTTGATAATATCTGATTTCAGTTAAAGATACAAAATGTCTTGAAGATTGTAAATCATATTTTGTATTTCTGATCGTTCGTTTCAGAAAACTCTTCAAATGCTTTTTTCCGTTGACTGGTTTATGCCAAAAACTTTGAACATATTAAACCTTTTATATTGGCATTTAATCTCTGTTTGTTATTAAATATACTTCGCCAAATATTTGGATTATTAAATTTGTATTTTGTAGGCTTTTAATATGGCGACAGCATGAAAAACATCTTCAACATCTGATGATAGTGTTGACAAACTTTACTTTTTGAGATTTGTCAATATCTTATTATCCTTATTTTACATAGCTTTTACATGAATATTGTTCTTTCATGGCGTAAAGTTATTACACATCAAAGGGTTTCCTGTCAACTACTTACAACTAATTAACATCGAAACAGTGTGACTGATTTCAATTCATTTACACTATTTCTACGTTTCATATTGATGGATAGAACTGAGGACTCGATTAACATGAATTGGTTACTACTGATTGGTCAATCCGTGTGAAAGTAGTCGTTTTTATCAAAAATCTCCATGAAAGTAGTTAAGGTTATTTTCAGTTTAGTATAGGTAAACAATCGCATTTTTATGTGATCAGGGACCAAGTAATTCTCACAGAGATCATTACCTGTTTATATTTCTGTACTTAATTGATAAAGTATTGACTGGCACTTTTTTATTTGTGTTCGGTTACTTGAGAACGATAAACTTCTTGTTGTTCAGTCGTTTTATGGGTCTTTCGATTAATCACAAAATGAGATTATTTTCGAACTGGGTGTTGACGAAACCTAACAACACATATCTCAGAAGAATTATATAATCAAATCCTTCTCTGTGATAGTTCCAGTCAATATTTTGCCACGTATTTATCTCAAATTAAATGCTTTTTAAAAGTGACTTTATGGAAATTCTGAATCTGTACTTCCTATGATCTAGTCAGCTTTGGACACCGTTAAAGCTGGCGCACGTGTGTATGTCTTAGTTGCTATATTGGTTCAATAGGATTCACATGAATATTGAAAACTGACAGTTAATTACTTTACTGTATATTTGTTTGAATTAGTGATCCAAGTTAATACTGATTCTTCATTATATCTTCAACATATGGGTGGTTTGTCAAAGTATTTTTTGAATACTTATATTCGTTATTATATGTTAGAACCAGTCTAACATTCTGAGGCAAACTAAGCGTATACTCTAATTCACTTCATTTGGTACAGAAATTTCGGAAAGTGTACTATTCTATCATTTGAGTCATTTTTTTATTAAAATGTTAAAAAGCGAAACGTGTATTGGCATAAAACAAACATCTAAAAGTGAAACAACATTCCCAGGAGTTTTTGTCTCACATAACCTAGTGCTCATATTTTGATTGTTGTTTGGGAAGTTTCCTTTAATGTTTTAAAATCAAATAGGTTGGTCGATTCCATCTAGCAACCAGTTCGTGTAAATGATAAGTGATTCAAACCTGTGAGTGCCTCTGGGAAAGAAAATGTCATAAAGTTCCCAAATTTTGGCAAGATATGGATAATTTATTTTAACAGGTCGAGTTCTTATTGAACCAAAATGCCATCATATTCAAAATAAACTAAATTGCTGAAAACGGAATGTATACTTTTACAATGTGTCGTTATTTTGGAAGATTTTCGAAGTAAACAGATGAAAATGTATGTATGTATATTTATATAATCCCGTATACTGAAAACCGTTTACACTAACCACTATTGTCAGTACCATATCTACAGTTATGTAATATACCCTTGTGGGCCAGGGTAGTTTTACTTGGTTTTCAGAAGGACCTTCACGTGACGGCTCAAACAGTACGACTCAATCCTGTTTAACAGGAGAGCCAAACACCGCCCAGGCTTAACCCGAGCAGTACATCTCAATCTCACTTGGAGGAGAGCCAGACACTATCCATATCTACAATCTGAACTAAATAAGCCACTATATTTTCCCAAGGCCGTTGCTTTATAGTTTCATTTTATTGATGAAGAAATACTACTTTGCTTTACAATCACCAAAAACGAGCTAATAATAATTCAAAAACCAAGTTGTTTATTTAACAGAATATCAGGTTCATTTACTACTCTACTGAACTTATTGAAAGCATAGTTTATAAACAAAAACAGTTAGTGGTAGTGGCTAGGTGTACCAGTTATATTGCAAGCAAGAGTGTAGTTCGAGTCATGAGATCATATGGAATCTATTAGTAAGCATCTGTTTGATCTTGTTCGGTGGTGGTCGTTATTCTACCCTTAGTTGTTCCACCCATTATATTAGCTTTGGCTCACGTTTAAGTTTTTGTTCCAATCGTTATCTTCGTTTCTATTGTTTGTTTTCCTTTTCTATAATGTTGATTAATATGAAAACGAAAAATAATATCTTACTTTTGCAATTTTTATATCATCGGCTGTTCAAAAGTCATGATTTTGACTTTTTAGTTAGCATAGTATCAAAATTAAAATCCTGATTCATCTACTTTCGACTTGTATTAGGACTCACTACAGCATCATACTGTTTATGATCCAGATGTATTTGATCATTCCTCAGTATCAAGTACACCTTCAGCTTTAGAGGTTCCTGTTATCGAAAGCATGAGTTCACATTTGAGAAATGGGGGTGAAGAAAATCGTGAATAAGAAAACTGTCGGTGAATTATATGGTTCTTGAATTATGGAAGTTGAAGTGCTTTCATGCAACAATTCGCTTCACTTTTTTCAAAGTCAAGTTATATTTGCAATGTCCATAACCTTTTATTTTTCTACAAGGTTAACATAATTGCTTATGATATAATTAAATGCCAAGATTGTGTACTTTTTATACAATGTTCGTTGTAATATACTGAATGACTTTACCTCTTGTCACCTGCACATATTTTGATTTATTTGCTCTCTTTAAATGCCAAAATGTTTACTTCGATACTGTTTTTTTTTCGGGAATCCCAGATAGTGTTGGCATAAAACGTATTTTGCAAATGATATTTGTTATGAATTTTACTTGATATTTGGTAAATTAACAACGATGTTTACTATTTTCAAAAAATAAACAAAACAATGTATTTCATTACTATCTAAAAATGCTAGCTTAACCTAAATTGTTAATTGTACTACAACGAATATTTTGTAGAATTTCTTAAGAAATGTTCTTTAAAGGTGAACAGTTTATTTGTATTTTTATGACAACTTATTCCAATAGATTATTCACTCATTGATAATATTTTGGCACAATGCAGTTACAAATTGCTGATCTACCAGCTTTTTAGAAGCGTAGCACACTTTTGTTTCTTTTAACTCGTCTAAAGTAAAGTAATTAGCTTTTATTGTCAAATATTCTGTGCAACATGGAAGCTTATTTCTTTGTTCTGAAATAATTCAATGGTAGGTGGATACTTAGATAATATATGCATGTAAACATTTATATCTATTTTGAATTAGTCAGAAATGCTGGTTTTTGATTTGCTAAGGTTCTATGTCATGGATGATCAATTGGAAATTATCTGCAGAGTTTATGCATTTGTGAAAGAATATGATTTTATAGATATGATAACCGACTGTGCGTTAGATTCTATAATCTTACTTTCTATAGTGTTATTAGTACCCATTGTTCAATGAACTTTCTTAGTTGGTGTATATAGTGTTGTCCGTACTACTAGGTTTCATAGTTGTTGCGCGTATTTTTACTCATTTATTCACTTTTTAAGTGCATAATTAACTGTGTGAGTATTGTCAAGTTTCTTGTACATCTGTCTCCAAATGGAGATGTTCATGGGTCGACTTGACTGAAGATACGTAACATACTCTTGAACGTCGATAGACATAATAGTAAAACATTTGTTAATTAGTTTCTTTCATTTGAATGATGGTCAAGATAGTTCTAATCACCCATTGCAAAGTAAGTTACTGTATGTTTTGTTCTAATTGTAAGCTGTTTTATGTATTCTGCGATAAATCCTAGAATGTTTAGATCTATTACAAAATTTGTTTCTTATCAGAATGGGGATTTGTGGAGATAGTAATAATTTTAATAGTTGAATTCATGAGATGATCTAGGCTAGAACACCATTGTAAACCTGGAAGCACAGACAATAGGTGAAGGATTGTGCAAGATCATGTATCAGTTGAAGTTAGATACTAACATTGTTGGATGCCGGCTCAGTGGTCTAGAGGCTAAGCGTTCGCGCGCGAGATCGAGAATCCTAGGTTCCAATCGTGGGTGTGCAATGATGAGGAGTTGCAGATTAGAACGAGGCGGCCCTCCAATGCTTCTAAGTTTTCAATAATGGTCTAGCTTAGATTGACTCAAGAATTCAACCACCAAAATGTGTTTTGTTTGGAGTGAAGCTAGATATATGTTTATACAGCTCATGACCGGGAATGGACTTTTATTAATGAGGTTACTCCATGAGTACACTTCTGTGTATATACCTTACGTTCAAGAATTCAAAAAATTGCTGGGATCACAGCGCTGAAACTATCAAATAATCTTAATATAAGACTCAGATCTTCATCTCCTACTATCTGTTTAGCAAACATATTCTAATGAAATGATGATTGAAAGCTACCTTAAAAATATCAGTGCTTGACAGCTGCGAAATTGATTCCTAACTTAAATACACGCAGTGCATATTGTAAACTCTACTTATTGTCTGTTTCACTGTGGTGCTACGCAAATATCATTTATGAAAGTCTAACCTAAATCTAAAAATTATTATTATTTATTAAATTTCCACACTATCTTAAAATTCCAAGATATTCAATAAGCGTTTTGAATATTCCAGATAGAGGGATGGTTAAAGTACTTACACAAATACAGTTGGTTAAGTTGACGAGAGATGTAAACAAATTAAACTTAATGAAATTCTTCATAGTAATAGGTCGTCAATTTTGTTGATTATCATTTGCTCAAAATATATATATATATATATATATATATATATATATATATATATATATATATATATATATATATATATACTAGATATAATTGATGCATCTGTCGAAACAATATCTGTAACATGAAAGATGTGGGGTACTCATGAAACCACAGTTGTACGCTACATTGTTGTTACTTTTGAGCCTTAATCGTGTTCAAAACAAACTGGAAGCTTATTTTGAAACCGGGTCATTCATGTATTTCACGTCAAGTCCTATACATTTCATATAAGAATTTTCATTTAATAAATCTAGAAAATCACTTTTATCTAAGGAAAGCATATACACCTGGTGTTAGATCTGACAACAGATACTTATTTATGTGCTCATAGAAGGAACATTGCATTGAGGACGACATCAGAATGTAATTAGGAACACTCATAATTCAGCACACAACGGGTAATCTAAAATAAGTCTGTTTATCAACAATTTCCATCGTTGGTTAGATTAATCAAACTAACATTTTGACGTACCATAATCCATTGACAACTTTTATAATACAGCATGTATGAACTGACTTTCCAGTCAGTAGTAAATTTCAGTTGAGTGATAAAGATGTTTTAAGCTTGTACTGTGCCATGAAACCTAAATGAAAACCTCTGACGCTGACCTAACTGTATCAGACCGAGTCGGTTATTTTTCGAATCGCCTCTTTTGCTCTTCTAACAATTGAAATGGGAAAGCATAACTTGATTTTTAGTCAGTATTGATTCAAGTATCATCTGGCTATCAAGATATAAATATAGATAAGCAAAAGACAACAGATTTGTTTGATAGTGTAGTAAGTACTACAAATGTTGAATTCAATTACTTCATTAGTCCTATTTAGAGTATCTACTAGTCTTTAATGGGAGATTGAACTTGGGAAGAATTGGTAAAACAACATTTTCTGTTGGTCTCACTTAGAGATTTTCTTTAATACTAAAGACGTTGTTATATGTCAAAATTATATGACTGGTTATCTATTCAATTGACAATAAAAACAGTTCATATCATGTAATTAACGTTAGATACAAACAACTAGATCGGGACTCATCTCCTCCGGTCTAGCAAGTTTTTATTCATATATCTATTGAATTCCAGAAGTAATCCATTCATTGAACTGCGTGGATCGTTTCTGTAATTTGTTCTAAATTTAACATTATCGATGATAAGTTTACTCAACATTTCATGAACAATGCACACATTTTCATAGTGATGTGCACTTGGTATTTACTACTCGGTTTTGAAATGAATGTCTTAGTCATCATGATAAATAGAAAAGACTTGAAAATCTGATTTTAAATAAAAAGAATACTTACATCATATGCATTTCCTTTGTCAAGATTGTATCGAAAAACGTGGGGGTAGCTGTCTATGGCTCACCCTGGATTGCGTGGATGGTGTTTTTTTAGCAAGGTTCTTTTTTGAGGGATGAAGTTGGTAAACTCTTGCCAAATTCACCTCCTGTACGTGGATGAGAACAACTAGTAGCTTTATAGAGGCTCTAGAAAGAGTTTGAAATTTCCATCAACTAAAGTATCCTAAGACAGTATCCTCATCAGTTTATCAAGATTGGTTTGGATCTCGGTCAATACAGTGATCTATAGTCTATTTATGAGTTGTGTATACAGAAGTACATCCACTGTGGATGATCTTAGTGTTAATGCACTTGTACATCATTTTGTCTGAAATATTGGTGTGTAAGCCACTGTGGAGTCTTCAGCTATCCTATTATAAACTGGTGACAACTCCGTCGAGTAATGGGGAATTCCCAACAATACTAAATATTCACTGTTGGTTCTAATGGGTGCATTACTCAAAAAGGCTTGCTAGCATTCTCAAACTAATTCTATTTCAAGATACAAGTTAAGAAAGAAGTTGGAAGCGATGATCATAAAACGGTTATATATATTCTTCCCGTTAAAAGAAAACGTCAATATTGGGACTATAAAGTGCAAAATGGGCTTAATGCAAACCTTGTTAAGATGCTCATTTTTCAACGACTTCTCTAGGACGTTTCATATACGTACGAGACATTTTATTATATCGACGAATCATTTCTAGATTCCTTTGCACCAGTGAAAACCTAGTACTGCTTTCCCGCTGTGGATTTGTCTGATGGTCATCCCGATTTTCTTGATCGTTGGTGGAGTGACATTTATATGAAAGTCTGTGAGTGCTGCTTCAATGTCCGGTGGGCTCATGGAACTGGTCTATTCAGGAGTTCCTCAAAGTGTTCTACCAATCTCTACTCTGTTTTTGAATCTCAGTGATTGTCTTACCTTTTTTATCCTTGATTGGTCTCTCTGGTTTACTATGTTTCCCTGTCAGTTTCTTCGTTGTGTCATATAGTTGTTTCATATTCCTTTTTGTTGCGACTTTGTCCGCTGTCGTTGTTAGGTCTTCCACGTATTTCTGCCTATCAGCTCTAATGCTCTTCTTCACTTGCTTGTTTGCTTCAGTGTATTTAGCTTGTGCCTTGACGTTTTCTATTCTTGTTCGGCTGTTGTTAAGTGCTATCATTTTTAGCGATACAAACATGATCGATCTGATTCTCTACAGTGTGATCCGGTGTGACCTGTGTAGTATTGTGTGTGCGTTTGTGTGAGAATATTGTTACCCCTTTAACCGTTTTATTGAATGCACATAAATTCGCAAATCTCTCATCATTCTCGTTTCACTGTGATCCCCTCCTTTGTTTTGAGAGATGCTTTGACGATCTGAGATAAATGAGATTTCCATGCAATGAGTGCTTTGCGTGCTTCTTTGGACAGCATCAGAGCAACTCACTGAGTGTGCGGAGCATTTTCTTCCTAGTCCTTCTTGGGTTGAATGGGTTTCACTTATTCCTAGCACAGTCAGTTTGTATCCTCTCATTTCCGTAGTCATTTGGTTGGTTCTCCCAGTCTCCCACATTGTCAGAACATTCCATGTACCTATATTGATTTTTGCTGTGGTTGTTAGAAGGAGCATCGGCCTCGTGACTACCGAAGAATCTCGGCTTCCACCGTAAGACGTCATAATACTTCCTTTAATTCCCAGTACAGAGTTTCAATGGTTTAGTTTGTTTATTGTGGTTAGCGTTTCTTGAGCAAGATTGTTTTCTATGGGATGGGGTCGCTGATCGTATGCCTAACTCTCCTACTTTGTGTGGGATTGAGACCGGTAGTAGCCCTAGAAGACCTATAGGTGGAGTTAATCCTAGAATACTTAACGCTTATTCTACTATGTGTATCCATTCTATATATGAACAGTTTCGAGTCTATCTGGTAATGATTTTCATCTCGTATGCTTGAGAGCGATTGTGATTAAACAGATCCATTATGTTTAAACTTGCTCCTCTGTAGAAGCAAATACTTAAATTATGTCTATTCTTTCTCTTCGTGATAGTAAACAATCTATATGTTTCATTCACTGATGGCATTCAGTATGTAAAATCACCGAGCTTCAGCATTCGTAACTGAATGTTAAAAGTAAAATTGTTTCATTTTAAACCTACTCTC